TCTCTTCCATGATGCCGCCGCGCGATGTGCCTGCCAGACAGACCCGCCTGACTTCGGCGTCCCATCCTAACCGAGTCAAACTTCGTACATCCAGAACTGGCCGATACGACCATTCCTTTGTCCCGAGGGTGTCTAGATTGTGGAACAATCTACGGGAGGAAGCTTTTCCCAGTTGTACTAACCTTAGGCAGTTCAAAAATCGTATTAACAAAATTTCTTTGGGATCATCATAGCAGCCGCGGTGTTCCGGCATTTAGGCTTCTGCTTGCGCGGCTGTTTCGATATAAAAAAAAAAAAGAAGATGGCAACAAACAGTTTATACAGACGTTTCATATCTAAAACCATGTTGGGTAGAAGAAAGAATTTTCTTACTCTCAAGAAAAGATCATATCCGGTTGTGAACGATCCTTCCGAAAATTTTGAAGATTATGCTAGGAATAGAAATTGGTCTGTAATTATCAATAATGTCATGTCACCTTTTTTATGTCTGGACCCAGCAAGTGCACATTTGAGTATTTCAGTAAAGTGATAGGAAAAAATGAATTCATTAAATAAATAAACGAGTTATTCAACGAAAAGTTGGATCCAGCTCCGGAAATCTGTTATCCCCACCAGAAAGCCATAAGTTGTAACACTGTAAACAGATTTATTTCCTGTATACACACCGAGAACCAAATTTGTCTGATGGCTTGAGTTCAATGTGTACGAGAGAGTAATGTGCATAGGCACATACGTTAGCAAGAGATAGAAGCCGCCTAGATAGCGAAGCTCATCACCGCGTTGCCAGTTCCTTGAATTAAGATGCATATTGAAAATATGCGTTATTTTATTCTGTACGCTGGTTTTATTTTGAGCCTACACATTTTTGTAGTAGCCTGTGCGAACATTTTCTGGTGTAACATATTGGTATCGCGGCAGGTTGCACGACCTTCTGCGTCACCGTTACTGGGCAATGTGGTGATGATTTTTCGCTCTTCAATCGGCTTCTATCTCTTTCTAACATGTTTGTTACACACTTCCCGCGCTTCTCTCCCGTTCACATTAAACTCAAGCCGTCAAACAAATTTGGTTTTCTCTGTATATACGCAACATTATTGTAATGTTTTTTCACTATAAAATAGAATAGAAGACAGTTAAAATTTGGTAATATAATCTTGATATGTGCAGGTATACGCATCAGGAAAATGGGAGACGTAACATTTATTACAGCGATCGAAAATGCATGCAAAAACCCGTACAGAGCTGAGTATAAAATATGGGTACTAAAATCTTTCCAAAAGTGCGTTTATGATTGATGAAGTTGTATGGTCAAGTGAACCGTTTAATAGGAAAATTGTATAGTAGATCTTGGTATGTTGCCTTGAAACCAGCACTACCAAATTCTGGAAAGTTAATTACTTGGCCTTAACGTCGCACATCCCTGTTTTTCAACAGCCCGTTTGAAGAAGTATTCTTAATACTTCGTCTGATTGTTTCATGGTGTGTATAGAGATGACTAACTGATGACTTTTTTGTCAAAAAAGCATTATTGTGCAATTTAATAATAGCAACATGAGTTTTCAAGAAAAGCATAGATTTTTGGAAAAAAAAATGAAACTGTGATTACCCGCTCAATTCTACTATAAAAGTAGAACATTCACAGTTTATTTGTACGGTTGAAGAAAAAACGAAAAATAAAATTAACAAAAAATGCATTTTCATACAACAAAATAAATATCATTGTTCTTTAGATATCTTATACACACTATAACATGATCAGATGAAAAGTATTAAGAATCCTACAAACAAGCAGTTGAAAAAGGGATGCGTGTCCTTGAGTTCATGCTCAGCTATCCTGTCCATACTCGAACCATGCTGGCTGAGCGTTGGGATCTATTTGGCTTAATGTAAAGGACACTCTCCTGGACCGTACCATCAGTTTTTTCAGTAGTTCCATCCAGTTCTGACAACATCCCTATGTTAGTGCTGTGATTTTAGCTGACTACCCTTTCCACAACTCAGAATATACACGCACGTTCATGTTTGCTCAACGACCAAAAGAGCCAAAAAAATTTCATATAGCAGACGGCAGAAGCCGAGCGAGAGATCATTTTAATTGAATGTGATCTGTCGCTGCTGAGCTGATATAGATACGGCGTAAAATATTGTAGAAAACAATGGCAGTAGGTAATAAAATTTTACGACGCAGGCCCGCCATATAATGGCGCGTCTTATTTGGTATGAAGGCATAGCCAGAATCAGAACGGAACGGTTGGTCACACCGCTCCTAAATATCAAAGGAATTATAGTATGATATGGGATTGTAGGTGATATAGTTTCTTCCAGTCGTATTTTATGTAAGAGTTACATAAACCGGATACCTTATAAGATATGGTTTAAAGTAGGTTCACTATACACCCAGCATTTCTTTTATACACGAAGGCCTTAGGCCTGGATATCAATTGGTACCGCACAGTATTTTGAGTTTTTCAAACGAACATATCAATTTGTTTGATTTCCGTTCATCTATTTCCATGCCTACTAAACCTATACCGCTCTGATGAGCACAAAACAGAGCTGTCTGCTGATTGTTGTCGTTACAGAGATGCGCGTAAAAATATCAGAAGAAGATAATATGAAAATAATATCTGATACTTAATTAAAAAAGAATTTTAATTTACTATCTCTTATTATAAAAAATGTAAATAAACAATCAAAAACTCAATTCTTCCCCAGTGTTATAAATTAATATACAATGATATTTTAATTTTATTTTTAATAAAAATGTGAGCTTACTTGTTGATGTTTGGGGAATAAAGACGTTTCTTATTATTATTAATTGAGGTGACGGAATTGATTCATGAATATTCTAGCATGAAAGTCAAGATGGCGGTGAGATGCCATATTTGAGTGCTTTATAACCTTATATATAGCCTTAGAATATACAATCACTACTTTTCAAAATGACAGACTGCGGAGCTGTCAAAGTTGGATAGATTGAATCCCTTATAACTCAACACTTTGATTTGTTCATTTTAATAATTAATTAACCAAAAAATCATAGGACACACTCGAACCTCAACAATGACGTGTTTCTACCAATAATGACCGGTCGTGTTTGATTTTAACTTTTTCACTTTAAGCCACGCGATTTGTAACAGCTGTTAAATGATGAAGTCAAGAACTGGCCTAACTTTCTGTAAAAAATTATCAGTAACAAATATGTGTATAACTAACTACTGTGTTTCTATGGAGTCATGCATTGTTAGTTTTTGTGCAGAATTCAAAAAGTTAATATCATAGTAAAGTATTTACTTATATTTGTTTTATATTCATAATCATTGGGCCACAGTTGCGTGTAACAACCCTGTTCTCAGATCTCTGTTCTGTGCCAGAATAATCAAGAACGTAACCAAGGAATAACCGCGATTCATCACGGTTCATCGCTTAAAATTGGTTAATGACGTGCATTCGACACGAGCTGTCAAATTGGACAAATGGCACTAGATTTAAAAATTGAATATTCGCATATGCATGTATTGACAACGACCGCCTTAAAAAATAAAAGACTGTATACATGGTTGTCCGCCCAGAGAATCCTGTTGTACATTAAAATTTGCAAATGTAGCATGATTTTGTATACAATGTTTCTGATTTTTAGTAATTGACCCTCCATCTGAAAAAAATTGCTACCTCCCTCTCTTTAAAAAGTTTTGGGAGTAGCTACACAGATCTCTTGCGGATGATCCCCCTTGAGAAAAATGCCTGCGGGCGCCCATGACTGTATATGACAAACCTTTTGCTTCAAAATTACTGACCCGGCAGTTTGAACTTCACTCGAGTGTTACCAGGCGTGGCGATTTTCGCCAAAGTGGCAGTTTGACGGCTTCAAATGGCGACTAAAACGGATTACTTTTAACATTTCTGACATTTGTAATCAATTCTTGCTGATATGGGCTCTAAGCACGATGGCTTTAATGGTCAAATGCCATGTAAGTTGTCGTGTTCCGAGCATATCAACGACATCTCATACTAGCACTTTTGACACAATGTAGCTACATATGCGATTATTACTTTTTTTGTACGATGACCAGGAGAGCGAACCCCCAAAAGATCACTAGGACAATGTAAATACGCAGAAAAATCTCCCCTCCCCTATCGGTAACCCCACCTCCCCCCTCCCCGATTTTTCAGTTTTCACAAGATCACAACAATTCGCTCCTTTAAAATGCCGCTCGGGATCCGAAACCTTAATGAACTTATAGTTTCGTTTACACATCTCTAACAACTCCGCTTTTTAGGTATTGACCCCTTTACCCTCGCTCTTCAGTTATCGTCAACAAGCTGCTTAGGCTAGTCACTACCCCTCGCCCATTTTTCAATCTGTAACAGAAGAATTGTTCACACGTTTAGAGTGCTGCCGCCCCGACTACATCATTTATGCTCGAGGCTGTCCGACCGATCGACGACTCTTCTCTAACAGACAGTCTCGGAACCCTTTCGCACCGCCGGGCCGTCGTCGATCTAGCTGTCTTCTACCGCTACACCAACGGGCTTTGCTCCTCAGAACTCTCTTCCGTGATGCCGCCGCGCGATGTTTCTGCCAGACAGACCCGCCTGACTTCCTCTCATCGAACTTCGAACATCCAGAACTGGCTGATACGACCACTCCTTTATCCCGAGATTTTGGAACAATCTACAAGAGGAAGCTTTTCCCATTTCTACTAACCTTAGGCAGTTCAAAAATCGGATTAACAAAATCTCTTTGGGATCCTCATAGCAGCCGCGGGGTCCCAGCATTTAGGCTTCTGCCTGCGCGGCTGCTTCGGTATAAAAAAAGGCACATCCGAGGTGTTGGGACGTTAATTCTGCTTAGTGTAGTTCGTATGAGTCCAAACCGTGTATTTACTGCTAACAAATAGAAAGTGAAAGGCTAGTATAATATATTTATTCACATATATTCTCCACAAACAATATAAAGTATATCGTGCAAGCTCTGTAAATTTAGTTTGAGATACAAAATATAAAATAGCGAATGCCTAGTGTGCCACAATAGTTATATTCACATACATCATATTATTAGCCGGCTGCTATTTCCTACAGCCGTATTTCTATTCTGGTAACCGGTAATTGGGTTAACATCGAGCGATGCATTTTAAAATAACTTTTATTATTCCAAAACACGAAACACAATATTTGTTTACTGCGTATTTAGTTTTGATGAGTGTTGAGTCATGTGGCAGTGTAATTGTAATTTGCTATTTAGGAAATGTACCTAATCCACATTTATTATGATTCACAAAACATTTTGATTACGACAATCGTGAGATAAAAATCCGTGAATTTGGTTGAACAATAAGTGGAGAGGAAGAGTTTTCTCCATTACGGTACTTTCGACCCAGGCTTAACTGCATTTTTGGTATAGACGATTTACATTTATTTTTAAAGACGACGCAATCTAGTATTTTTGCGTTGTATATTCACTGAATCAAAGCAGTTACGTTAAAACGTCAAATAATGACAGTGACGCACAGGTTGCCACATTAATTAAAACTACTAGATCCCAGGACGCTTTACAAAATCTACTTTATGTCTTCGATGCCTTACCGCAACTAACATTACGGAGCGTATGTTTTATAAACACTAGAGCTGGTATAAATTCTATTTACTACCTAATACCTCTCTTACGGACTGTAAAGTCAATAATGGAGCTCCATGATCCCGTTCGGTCTCAAAATATTTCTTCAAAGAAATGTCGAAATTTTGAAAAAAACTGTTTTTATAAAATAATGCAAATATTGGGCAAAAAGAACGGAAATAAAAGACAAATAAACAACAGCGTAATTACCTGTCAAGCTTTGCGACAATGTCACAACACAGAAAACTGTTACTAACATAAATGTACCCGGGAAATTCAAACTATACGAACTAATTTAGAATCTATTTTGCATTAAGGTTCGCATTAAAATTCACTAAATATGACATAACTGCTTTGTTTCAGTGAATAAACTATATGATCATACATTGAAAGAGAATCGTTCAAGTACATTGTATTAGTAGGACTGGATTTTTATTCTGGTTACCGATAGAACGTGAACGTGACTACACATCTCATGTCAATGCTGGATAACAAATGTCATTTTAGTTGGTATTTGACAGAAGTAAAACCTCCATAACAAGACAGAGAATGGATATAGTATACATAATATCACTACATTTGTTTGTAAAAGATTTAAATATTGTCATCATAGTCTCATTCAAATTTTTACAAATACTTTGAAACACCTAGCAACCTGGTGTCAATCTAACAAATTAATGCAATATGATGCGGACTTCGCCTGCCTACTGGTCCATTTTATTTTTAGATGGGACTAAGGTGTTAAGGTTTGTTCGTCACGTTTTGCGTCTGCTAACATTAAAAACCATTTCCCAATACTTTTCCGATTATTGAAATATTTAAGAAAGATAGCTGGGTGACGACCTACACATAATATTAGTTGTTTCTTACTTGTTTTGAAATATTTCTGAATAAAATGTATAGTTTTAAAAGCTGAATACAATGACATAGCTGGTGTTTTTTGTTATCATTATTTGCTTAGGGAGAGAAAAGATATTTTGAAGAGAGATAATGCCGAAAATAATGGTAAAAGTAACCTATTCCTCGATAGATTGTGATTCTATATCGATGCTCTTTAACTCTAAAGTAATAGATGATCCTACCTTTTTGTTTTCATATATTGCGCATACTCATCCTTAGGTTGATCAATAGGTTGATTGCCTGATGTACTTTTGTGCAGCTGCTATGGATAAAACATCAATAAACACTGATTCTGATGAATGAATAATGAATAATATTTTTATGCCAATAATGTTAACATAATCATCTTTATCATATTTATTTGTTCCAGATTACAATGTGAAGCGGAAAAAGCGGAAAATTGGACTACCGTATTCAGCCGGAGGCATTTCGGTGTCTCAGATATTGGCACATCGTGAAAAAATAGCTTTAAATCAACACGGGTTCAACAAGGATCTGCTTGGGAATCAACAGCAGGTCAGTTTTGAACCTTTTTAATATTTGGTGTTAATAATAAAAAAATGTTGGTCGTCGAAAATCTTGCGTTAGTAACCAATGGCGAATATAGAAATTAGAATTTAATTTCGGGGTGTGGATAGTCACAATGAAGTAATGGTTCATTAAAGAATGGTGTCAAGTAGGTAATGTCATCAATCCGTAAAGGATTATATTCGGGACAAGTTAGCCCCTCTTAGAAAAAAGTTGGCCTTCAGACACATATAATAAGTGAAATGGATCATGTCACTCAAACAGGGTCGTACAATCAGTCCGTAGTCCCCACATATTTGACAGCATTGCTGTCAACAGTACCGACTTTCCAGAAACGGAACGTGACTGCCCAGCACGGCGTTGGATACACGGGTAGATGTACGCATCCACACTCGGAGGGTTAGTTATCCCTTGAAATTCGAAGCAGACAGACGTATGCTTGAGTTGTCCAGCATGCGTATATCGAAAATATATCTCTATCATTCAAGTTTTAAGGCCAAATTCACGGGGAATCCCCGATGTCTGAAATATGTCTAATAAGTGCATAGAATTGCTGGGGTTAGAAACGTATAAATTGCTAGCACCAAAAGGTCATATCGATGATCTCAAATCAATAACGTCAGAAAAGTCAGAAAAAATGTCGATTTTCTGATTTTGTTCTATTTTGATTCCTGTATGCATAAATAGACATTTTCGTATTTACGAGGTATTGATTTGAGATCGCCGATGCTTCCCGAATAAGAACCATCGATATGGATTTTCTGAGAGCATTCCTGCATGCATACAGGAATAAAAACAGAACAAAATAAAAAATCGACATTTTCGGACTTACGAAGTATTGATTTAATATCGTCGATATACTCTCTTCCACCCCGTAAAACTTCCAACATCCAATTTTTAACCCTTGCTAAAATTTTCCTGAAAATGAGGTGAGATTCCTCTGAAACGTCAAAAAACTAAGGACGGCTTATGTAGCTCCGTCACCACTGAGCCGACTTTCAAAAGCTTTTCGTCGTTGGTCTAGTATTAATCTTTTGTGAATATTTCACCCAAATCTGAGCGGTTCTTTCCAAGTTATAGACGGGCCAAGGATTAGCGGGCAGACAGACAAATAGCCAGACCGGCAGTCTGACGGTCAGATAGACAGACAGACCGGCGGAAATGTGTGACATAATTTTTCATGATGTACACATACAATTTTTTCACGCCAGTACCATAGGAAGTATAAATTGTCGAAAATTTGAGTAATTCAAAAAAAATCCATAAGTATATGGAATTTAGACCCGTTTTGCGGGTAAATGTTGTGCATAGATAAAGAATCTGAAGTCGGTTTTTCGCTGAGCTTGGTAGAAGGTCCCAAAAGGCCAATTTTTCCTGCCCTAAATAGGCATTTATGACACTTTGACGGTGATATTCGAAATCAGCTCCCCAAATTACCTCAGTGTACCGAATTACGTTAGCTTATATCAACGAGAAACTAAGATGAAGATTTTACATTGTGAAAGTTTAAAGGCATACTGTTGAAGAAAGTTTTAAAACATTCTAGAGTATCTGGACTGGAAATTTTAGTTTAAAGTTCACTTGAAAATTGTCGAGTTTGCCATAATTTTTGTACTATTCATTCAGTGAGTTTAGAACAATAAACATTAGTCGTCTCAAGAAGATTATATCAAAAATTAAATCAAATCAAAATAAGTGTCAGATTTTGTCTAAAAGAATATTAGTCCTGATAAATTACTGTTTAAAATATGGCGAATTTCCAACAAAACTGAAGTGTTCTACCATAACTCCTATTTCGAAAGTTAAGAATTCTGAGTTTTACATCAATATGCGGCCAATAAATGTTCTGCTAGATTTTGAAAAAAGCTTTGAAGAAATTATTTACGAAAAATAAAATTCTAACCAAATATCAAGCTGGATTCAGGAAGAAACACTCAACTGAAACGGCAATACAAAGGGTTTTAGAGGATTGGAGAAAATGTATGGACAATAGGAAACATACAGTATCAGTGTTTTTTGACTTCAAAAACGCGTTTGAGACTATTGACAGGGATAAATTACTTTCAAAATTACAATAATACGGATTTAAAGGATCTGTATCCAAAATTCTACAAAACTGCTCAATTGACAGAAGTCATTGTCAAGCTCAAAAAATATTTCTGCCAGTGTACCACAAGGTAGTAAACTAGGTCCACTACCATTTTTTTGATACAATAATGACATTTGTAATATTATAGATTATTGTATGTATATATTTGCAGATGAAAATATAGACACTGCTTTAAAATGGCTACATTCTGACTTGGCAAAAATCATAAATTGGTTAAATGAGAATAAACTAAAATTGAATATGTACTTCTAAAACAAAATGTATGCTAATAGGGAGATACCTAAATGAAAATACCATCACAGTCAGGATAAATGGCGAAATACTTGAAAATGCTGAATAAATTAAAGGTATATACTCGTATATTGATAGTAAACTACAGTTTGAGGATCATTATGAATGCATTATTTCAAAAATTGCCACAAAAAAAAAACAAATTACTTTTATAGGGCTTCTCCATAGTCTTGGTACATATTCCAAAAAAAAATAGTTTATAATACAGTAAATTATTCTACCGCATTTAGTATACTGTTCAACTATCTTGTTCACTGTCAATGAAGCTGTATTCTCAAAATTACAAGAATTGCAGTGGTTGAATATAAAAAATTTCATATCATATTTGGTTCTTATTTTTATATTTAAAACAAAAAATCATCTTTTGCCACAACATAGAACTATAGAATTGAATCATCATTACCACAATTATTATACAAGAGGAAATATAGATTTTCATTTACAAAATTGCAATAGTAATATAACTAACAAATAAATATTTCAGAAAGGATTACTTGAATTTAATAAACTAAATAATGATATAAAGTCTATTTGTAATTTAGAGATGTTTAAAAGAAAATTGAAGGAATATTTCATGGACAGTGAAAATTCTTAGAGATGCAAATTTTGCTTTTTATAAATATCTGTATGTTATGTGATTGTTTAGTTTTTTAAAAGACTGTAATTGTAGTAATCATGCTAAATAAATCTTAAGCATATCGAGGAAGCGGAATCCTCGATACCCAAAACAATCATGAAATTTAAATGACGTCAGTTCTAGTAAAGCTTCTCATCGTTATTAAATTGATTTGTTTGTAATCCAGGTATGGCAGCAGCCATCTGTAATGAACCGCCTACACGGTGGGTACCCGGACGCAATGGCCCAATCTCACCACGTGGTACGATGCCATCAAGACCAACAGCAGCCCAACAACAGATTGATGCCCACCGGAGGGCAACAGGTAGTTATGGCTGGTGCAGATGGCAGCACGATCGTGGTGCAGCAGCAACCTGCGAGCCCTGCACAAGGGCCCAACCATCCTGCGGGACAGGTATTGGGTCCCGGGGGACAGTTCATCAACGTACAGGCGAACCAGAGTGGGTCGCAGCAAGGGCAGATCGTCAGTTTTGTAAATGCCACTGGTACTGGTGCCGGACAGCAGGGACAGGGGCAACAGCATCAACAACAACACAGGGTGAGTTGTTGGAAAAATTAAAGGTGCTTCTCATCTCATCAATAGGATTTTGAAGATTCCGTTATCTCTATACCAACTAACAAAAGTTGAAAAATCTCCCGGAAAAATGTTTGTTGTTAAAAACTTCTTTGATATGGACAGTGGCAGTTAATTGGGGGGACCACGCAACACTCTTATGGGAAAAGTGATTCCGATGGATTTGCGCCAAACTTTGAGGTTGTGTTTTCTAAGTAATGCTGATCAAATGCTTACTTTGCATCAACTCTATTTATTTCGATCTAAAGGATCCAGAAAGGTTAGAAGTTGGGTATTTACGTCTTTTGTAGCGAGGCCGAAAAATCCATCCTATTTGAGCTAAGCACAATTTGGATGAGTTAATTACATTACAGAAAGCTTAAAAGAATCTTTACTCTCATTTTCAAAATTATCCAGTGGCTTAATAACAGAATATTGAGCATTCATTCCTCTAAAACACATTTTTTACCATTTTCTTCCTATTCCAGAGATCTACCAAATTACACAAACATCTCATTTATCGTAAATAATCACAAATTAGAAATTAACAGAGCATCAGATATAAAATATTTTTGAATACTCCAGGATCCACACTTGGGTTGGGATGTTCATATCTCATATATTTAAAAAAAAGTTAGATATGTATTGTATAAAATTAAATATATCAAAAACAGTTTACAAGAAAAATATTTCTATACCTTATACCATACCTTGATCTAGCCGCATTTAACCTACAGCATATTGGCATGAGGAGCTACATGCTCAACTCATATTCATGATTTGGATATGTTTCAAAAAATGATTTTACTAAAACAATGTTTAACAAACCAAAATTGTATCCAACTGATGTCTTATACAAAGACACACGTGTATATGACTAACAGCTTTATCTCTTACATGCTATGACCAACTATCACAAATTTCTCAATAACGACTAAAAAGTTAAACATAATCACCACGCAAGGCATAAACTAAGAGGAACAGTTGTACCTAGGCCAAATAAATGTATAACGCAACGATCATACCTTTATTTAGGTCCAAAATTATACATAAATTTACCTGTCAATATAAAGGCTCTGTTTGGGAATACGTTCAAGAAAAAGTTGAAAGAATGGATTTTTTCTTTGGCAAGACCAGACGTATACAAATTAATAGTAAATTTTTTGTATCTCTATTCATATTAAAATAATACAGTTGCAACATCAATGGTCCATGTACATGCAACGCCTTCTATGGGCCGTTACTTCATATTTATTCACTCATTCTTTGTATTGTGTTTCAAGAGTAAATTAATATTATTATTATTGTTCTTCCCCTTACCACCCTTAAAAGTCGGGAAGTATCCCTTATGAGAGACTGTTTTTCGAAAAACACTAATCATACCACAAGGCCAATGTGATAACGTTTTTTATTATTTCTTCAGAAGTAAGTACCCGGCTGACCTGTGCTCAACCCATGCCACAACCTTTGGAATAAACAATCAACTCCTATAAGAGGGATGGGCTGCATATTTCGTCCACTAACTAGAATAAAATATGATTTTGATATTTTATTCTTGCTAGAGTATGGTACTTATTCAAGCTGGGTTTCAACCCCTAAAGTGAAAGATCAATAAAGGGTTTTAAAGTATCTCCACCGAGCTAGGTGGAATACGTTTTTGACTAAAGCGATAATGAAAGATCCGTCTCTTGTTTAGCTAAGCATCTTATTATTTGGATGAGTTAATCACATCACAAATGAATGAAATAATTTTTGTTACATGTCGTTTCAAAAGTTACTTTCATTTTCCCCTTACTACCCTTTAAAGTCGAGGAAATATCGCTTAATATAGGATATGTCGCACATGTTTTCACTCAGCTAATCAGATGTGGCAAACAGTATGACATTTATTTTTTCAACGAATATATTTTTTTCAATGCCAGGTTTTCATCAACGGACAACCGACCGAGCCTTCGGGTCCCGGTCGGCCTAACCGCCAAATGATACCGGTGACAGTTTCCAATCAACCCGCCAATCAAGAAATGAGAAGAGGAGCGCAAAATCAACCCCAGAATATGCAAAACATACAGTTCTACACCAGTCCCAGCAGTAGCGGTGCGACGAATCAAACACAGTACCCAGCGCAACCTGTTAGGCAGTTCAACCCTAATATGAACGGATTCAGACCTCAGATGATTGCGAATACGCAGATGCAACCGCAAAAGGTAGTCATATATTATAGACCAACAGAAATAAACAATGTTGGCTTTAGTTGAAAACATTCTATGCCAGCCGCAACTTCAAACGCAAAGAGACGTAGGTCCGTGACGTAATCCACATGCTTAGTCATGTAACATCCAAAACATCTCATTTTTAATTTTTCGCATGATTACGGTAATTCCTCGCCAATTGGCTTGGGGAGTAAAAAACTCATAGTTCCGATTGGAGAATTTACTCTAGGCACTATGATATGATGTTCAGGCAGCCCACAGGACAACGCAACCCTTATTCCACTAGCACAGTCTGTTGGTTGCGGGCTGGTAGGTAGTATTTGGAGTATAATTTTGTAACAAGATGGAATGTGAGCGAGTATGAAGATCGCATTCAACTGCTCAAATAAATGGCATGTGTATGGGTTTAGTGCTGTTTGATCATTGATTCCGATGTGCGACCATTGTTACTGTACGTATGCTGTCCATGAGCCGGAAAGGTTTCGTTAGTCGATGTGTCATCTCTAAAGCAGCGTAGCAGACAGAAACGTCACATATTTTCAAAGAAGGCAACACTCGCAGCTAGTGCAAACCAATAACAACTAGTACCTTGTACGAATTTAACAAAAATCGCAATGTTAAGAAATTGCTATCTGACTTAAGGAATGGCAAACTGACAAGAAACTTCTTCAAATTATGGGTGGATTTGATTTTAAGATGGGTAGATAATTCGAAATTTTATTCATCCTAACTCTTAGAGCTAGGAATGTTTGTCTATGTTTATTCTGGTATCCTTTTCACAGGTCCACTGGCAGAATAAAATGGTTGCCCAGCATCAACACCAACAGCAGATGGAGCAGCAAGTGCATCAAAATCAACTAAACGGCAACGTCTACGAAAGGGTACCACCATTGCATCAGCACTCACCCTCGTCATCCACGCAGGCTGTGGCTTCATCCGTCATGTGGCAGGAGGAGATTAAGAGGAAGAAAACCAAAATGAGCAAGGTAATTTGGTTTACAGAGCTGGATCTAGGAACGAATTTAAAAAAATATAACCTGTTAAAGGAAAGTGAATACACTGTAAGGACTTCACACTTCTTAGTTTCAAGTCAACTCAAATAGATGAGTTTGGATTAAATTACAATAAATGGTAAAAAAGTGTCCTGGTAAGAGACTCATCATGTCCCTTGCCACCTTCTTATTGGTTGAGTTTAAACTGTGGTAAGTATAAGTTGAAACTTTCGGGTCCTTACCGTGATCATAATACCATATTTTCATTCCTCTCTTGAGAGTTCACATCAATGCTTTACAAGTGTGTAAATATATCGTATCATTTTATATATACAGGTGGTGAAGAGCAGACCATATCATATGATAGAAAGCAGTTGCCATCCTCCATGTCCCAACATCGATGTACGTCAAATCCCTATGGAAAGCAGATCTGTGATAATCAACCAATTGCCGCCTCATAACATCAACAACCAGACGTCGTCATCTTCCTCATCGTGTTCGTCGAGTCCATCTTTTATGGAGGACCCCAGTGGATATCTGGCGCAACAGACGGCGCTCCTGAATAACACTATCAACCGGCAAACAGGTCAGTGATTTGAGACGTTTCATATGTTTCATCACAAAATTCATGTCGCTCTTGTCAGCTCGTGATCTCAGTCTTCGCTGCATTGATTTTGATCGAAACATATCGCACAAACTTAGAAAAAAAGAGGGTGCATTAAGTTCTCGTGCGCACAAAGTTTAATAATAATAATAGCTTTTGATATACGGAAATTTTAAGAATATACGTGTGTTCAGAATATAAGTAAGTTTTATCTTCTACTTTGAGAATAAAATTTTAATTTTTGACATAATTATAGTATAGAGTTATACTGTACTATAGGCAAAAGGTGATTTGACCTTTAAAATAACTCATTAATCGGTCTGTTCCAGTTGACCATCAAATTGTCAAAAGAGTTGTTTGCATTTTTTGTAGCTGAATTTATTTCTATGAAAACGGTGCTTTCAAAGTCTTAGATGCAATATCAATACATGACTACGTAGGCAATCATCACTATCTCATCTTGACGGTATCTCGTCTATAAAAAATTGCTATTTTTCATTCAGGAGCAAATGGTTGCACAGGCTACATCTGCAACAGCCCAATATCTGCAGACCTCAATTGTCAACCATCACCACAGCAGTCGAACGAAATCCACCTGCCCAGCAATATGGTAGTATCATCGCAGCATATCAAGCAACAACCCACACAGCAACCTCAAAACGTTGGTCGGCCAGTCCAGCAAGTCGTGAAGACCCATCAACAGCAGCAAATGCCTCAACAACAGTCTCAGAATTACGCGGCAGATAGCAGCGTTTCGCAGCAGCCTCAACAGTGCATGGTAACGCATTGTCAAGGCTGTATGGCTGCTGACAGTATGCAACAGCAATTCATTTTGAAGCAGGAAAGTGGACATCAACAACAGATGCAACATCACAGGTTGCAACAGAGTCATTCGAGATCTAGTAGCACACCGGGTACTCCTAGCTCGACAGGTGAGCTTTATATTCTTATTTACAAGTACACCCGTCCATTGATTGTAAAATTTGCATTTCACTATGTTGCGAATGAAGTAAAATCTATATAACAGCCAATAATAAATAATATCGATGAACTTCGAGCACTGAAATCTAAGGGTTTGATCTTGCGTAAGATGTCTCACTACAATAACTCGACGAATCTCACCATCGCGGAACATCGATATAAAACACTTACTCCATACTCTCGAATTCTGAATCAATGTTGTGGCAATTTGTTTATTGAAGTAAGGTTTGGATTGGTAACTTGATGCTTTGATAACACTGATAATTACAATATAAACGAAAGCAAACTAGCGCTTGAGAACATTCTCGCATCATAGACGTTCAAAAATGTAATAAAACACTATTGCTGTCATTCAGACAACACTGTGTATGCATGTTGTTTGGAGCCAGTGGATAAACCCATCGCTGGTGAACCGTGGGGGTGAAAACCTATGAACACCTTACACATTGAGGTGCAGGTGCAGTAATTCATCTTCAATATGTATATATTTTGATGAAATTCAAATAATTTTTATGATCGAATTCCGTCAACAGGCACCAGCGAAGATCCGGTAACATCCTCCACTTTCAACGACAAACTGTCCTCCCCGAGTCAGTCAGTGCCAGACACGCGTCCCATCCAAGGCGGCACCGTCTCGACCAGCAATGTTTCGCCTGCCGCCGGTGGTGGGGATGGTCTCCATTCGGACCCGCCTACACCGCAAACGCCCAACAGTCAATCAGCGACTAGCACTGGGGCGGAGCAACGCCAATCTAACGTGCCGACGCCGCCTCGACGAACCCCTGATACGTCGCAGCAGCAGTATGGGGCTGGGCAAATTCAGGGCCACGCCCACAGGGAAGGCGGATACCAACAGAAGCAGGATGCCCAGCAGGCGATGTGCTGTCAGCATGCCCATCCATCGGTCATGGGTAAGTGGAATACCAAATGAAAATCATATATTTTCTAAATGTCATGGTGACATCTGGAAGATGTAATTTTTACCTTGACACGTTTCTTCATTATGATATTAAATTTTATTATGGAATATGTACATTTCAAAAACGTCTGAGGATATCCATTTTTTATCCAATCCGTTATATAGTGATAGATTTTGATGTGCACATTCTTACAGCAGTGCTTAAAATTCATGCGCCAAAGATCGCCTCGACGAAATCCTGTCGTTATTATTACTGTAAGAGCAAGTGTAGCAAGATATCCAAATGAGGCTCAAGAAAAAGTATAATGAGGGCAAATCGTTAGAGCTTTGAGGGAATTTAAGTCATATCTGTGACAGATAAGCTTACCCTCAATACGGATTATACATTATGAGGTTCACTGCGTGGCATCTAGCGCCACCCTATTTTAACTACGAGTTGCCACACCTAAAGGAAATAGGTTATCATTGATTTATAACGTCCATCGTTGGTGATGAAGGTTTCACCGACGTTATTTTGGAAAAAGTACGGACCAACAATGCATTTTGCTCAAACTTCACACCAAACAACTTTTTTATGAATGTATTTTCACTGGAATGACAGTTCTTGGACAATGCCCTCAAAGTCAACATAATCCAAGGCATCACTTGCATTCAGCCAAATATGACTGATTCGTTGTAAATTCTACCTCAGATAGATATTACCAAAATACTGAAGATGGGCCTTTCATGTAATAAGAGTTTTCTTAATATCTCTCACAAAGTTATCCCAACAACGCTTTTTATTGGAAAACCGTTTATATTATATAAAAGAGCTGAGTCGATAATTTGCTTACAGGGAGAGTATATACCTCGGGCATAGTGACAACAATGGCATCTGGCCGAACAGTAGGAAGCAATACGATCACTTCCGTGTTGGCTGGCAGAGCCAATACGGCAACTGTTTCAATCAACAGCCCTTCGTCGTCTACGCCTACTTCCTTGCCCAATCAAAATACCATGCCGATCACTGTCAACGTATCCAAATCGCCATTAGAGATGGTACAAAGCGTCGTTAGCAGTATACAGGTTAGTAACACAAAATCGCTTCTCTTATATTCGGCATCTAGGTATGTGTTACTTCAGGCCGTATCGTCAGTCGTTCCTACAATTGTAGGACGTCTTTATGTTATCCTTGATTTTCATAATTTTCTACTGTTCCGTGTCAGCGCTCTATTTTGAGGTTATGTTTCAAATATGCATTTGCATCAAATTGTTCAAGCTTTTGATTTATATCATCTCTTATATAGCCTGAAATTTCCTTCGATTCAAAAAGAAAACATAGCCTCACAATAGGAGAGCGCTGACGCTGACATGGAATAGTAGAGTTCTATTATCTATCCAACGAACATAGGGAGTAATAAAACAAGTGATAGGCCAGCCCGATTTACACCGCACAACTACCTGCAAAACCGGTAATGCGTTATCGCCAGTGGCGTGTAGGTTTTAAAATTAATTGAGGTACCGTTTAAATTATTTTCACTGTTTCTTCTATCGTTTCATTAATTTCAAGGTGCTATAAGGTTTATTACATTGATATATTAAATATGCTCCCCCATTTATGATTAGTTAACTTTACATATTTCTTATATTACAAACTCATTTTAATACATGGGAAAAAAATAAAGAAAAGGGCTCAAAAATTAAGTTCTTTTTTAGATTGGATTCTGGATCTTTTTAATATAATATCTAATAATGAATCTACTTGCATTCATTACCACGTTTATTTCGACGGCTGTATCCGGATAGACTTTAAGTGGATTATCCCAATCATGTGTAATCCTGACCGTTTATTTTGACAATACACAAGTCAAAAGAAAGGGCTACTTCAAAATCAGCGGTCAGGATTAACACAGGATTGGGATAACCTACTTTGAAGTCTATCCGAAATAAACAAGGTAATTATATAAGTATGTTTAGGAATATAGGTCCTTCCTCATTATCCAGTAGATATACAAATTACATTTATTAACTAATCGTTATCACTATCAATATAATCTGAAGATTCTGAATCGTTTCCTAAGTTAATAATCGCTGGTTCAACACCCTTTCCATGCATTGGTCAGCTGTCCACATTTTTTCTTCTTTCGTCTTTTTTCCAATTTTCCGAAGTTACATTTTGTACCGCGGTGTAAAAAAGCTGCTGTGCATCTGCAATCTTGATAGTTGTTTTTCTGGAAACTTCGTTTTTAATTTGCGCCCAAATTAACTCGATTGGGTTAAACTTGCAATGGTAAAGAGGCAAGCGTAAAATAGTCCGATTGGTAGATTTAGCCATTTCGTCTATGACATACTTGTCAGCACTTTTATTGCCCTTGACCAGATTTAAAAGTTCTGCTTTGATCATATCGATGTCAAAGGGAACATTATGCCTTCGTAGCCATTCCTGTATTTCCCCTTTTCTGTTTCCACTGTTTGGTGCTTTATCAATACGCCTACTATGGTATGAAGCACTGTCCGTAACAATGACAGCGTTCTCTTCTAGACGGCTTATAATATTTTCAAAACATTCTTCAAATAATTTGGGATTCATATCGGCGTGGTAGTCTCCTGCTTGTTTTGTTTCAAATACCAATAGTCCGTCTTCCATGAAGCCATTATCAGATCCGATGTGTAAGATAATTAGCCATTTTAGTTTACCTGAAGGATTTCTTAATCCCGTGGAGAGACCTTCCAGGAAGGCTTGCCGAGGATGCTCAACTGATGAATCCACCCATACTTTGCTAACAGTGTGCCCTGCATAGAGCCAAGTCTCGTCTAGGTAGTATATCTTCCTGCCTTCTTCACTATACTTCCAAATTTCGCGTAAGTATCTACGTCTCCAACATATTATATCGTCCTTTTCTTTCAAGATGCTATTTCGCTTCCTTCCTACAGAATCTATATACATATTTATAGTAGTTTCTTTTTCAGAAACCGACAAAGCTCTTTTTATCCGTTTTATATCCTTTTAAAAGTTGTCTCACAAAAATAAATGAAGCACACAACCTTCGGAAAGAATTAAAGTGCTATTGTGAACTTGGCGGCTTATCTACCGAAAACGGACCAATAGGAACGAGGCGGGTGCTGGTCAGATGATTTTTATTACTTCGTAGTTTCGTTGGATAAATTATAGAAATATCCCAGCCTGTCTGAAGGATAGAAAAGACTATGAAAATCAAGTATGTCATAAAGGCTTCAAATCCTCATTTGAGTATAGATTAAATGACATTCTACACCTTAAGTACCACTCGGCACTTGAATGACTCGCTCCTTATTTAAAATTTTTGGCAATTACAAACACCGCATACGAAAACGTTAATGTCAGCTTTGAAATAAATGTCAAATAATTTGTGGTTACCAAAATCTGTAATGTCTCTATACCTTTTTGTTAATAGGTTCCACATTCCCAGCATCAGCAATCCAGCAGTTCGCAAATGTCGCCGCAGATTATCAAGCATTCGCCCACCGGTCTTCCTCCAGGGCATATCTTGGTATCATCAGGAGGGCAGTTGATAGTTACTGGAAACAATGGACAACAAAGTGGAGGAGTTATGGCACCACCGCCTCCTAAGATTATCACGAATCAAAGCGGTTAGTACCATATTGGCTATATGACTTGACTTGAATGTCAAAAATGCCTCTGGCTTATCAGTTGAATATCAGTTATGGGAAAAGCTCTTCCATTTTTGGAGCTTTTAACATTTACTGGCACTGCCACCTATCTGGTAATACATCAATCTGGGTACTACCGACCCTCAGGTATGGTAGCAGAAAACCACAGTTTCCCGGCATCTCTCTAGAAAGCCGGACAAGATCGTACACTATAAAGGAGCCCTCAACTACCCACCATGCTATAGTTGTCACCATTCTTGGCGGGTCAAAGTAAGACTACCAGTATCCCTTTATATATCTCCACCTCCCTCATACATACACATGCAACCTACCCCTATGTGTGAACCTTTGTTTAGTAAGCTCAAAGATATACGTTTTTTAGTTGTGTGTCTCCGTCACGAAAACTGTCGTTACCAACGACGATCAAAAGACATAGACCTTTACATTCATTCATAAAATGTGTTTCTGAATATTGACAAGATAAACAACAAAAAAATGTCTGCCGCTGGGAGAACGGAACTGACAGTTATCAATTAGCATGGGCGTATCAAGGGCGGGGTAACGGAACGCGCGCTTGAAAACTATTTTGGTAGGGTTTTCAAAAAATTTTAAACATTACAATGAATGTAAGGGTATTAGGTATACTGCAATGAAATAACATCTCATTCAAATGAATTGTTCATACTATCACAGAATAAAATAGCATGTTTGTAGAATAAATCATGAAATGCAAACCTACCTCTCATTAGTACAACTGTATCAGTGTTAATAAGAGCACAGAGCCAGCAGAATTAAAGAAAAAAATGATTGTCATATAGATATCTTTATTAAAAATTGAACTATACTGTATTATGGAAAAGTATAATTAACATTAACAAATTAAAGACATCAACAGAATATTAATCCTAGATTAATCCTAGAGTACCAGTGGTATCTCCACTGTTACGTGACTCCATCACCGCCATTTATACTTATTTCGCTAAATTGGGATTAATACTGCAAAAAAGCATCCATAACCTCTTAAAAACGTGTGGTAACAACCACATGATGAGTAGCACTGGTAGTCCAGGGTTAAAAGATAAATGTCAATTAAAATTAGCATTACGTAATTGAAAAGTATTTGGTCAACCTATAACAGAAAGATAATATTATTGATGACGAAATAAATACTGCCTTTGTATATACACTTCTAATTCTAGTTTTCCTTGAACTATCAGATTTTTTAACAGTTTCATGTTGAATTCTGAGCGAAAAATGCTTTTTCAAAACAAGTTTTATTAAAAATATACAGTGTCCATCATAAAGGTGATCGTTAAAATAACCCATAATTTGTGGTGATATTGTTTGTATAGTACTATTAATTAGCATATCTAAGAGGTATTTGATATTCTTATTGAAACGAAGATATTGACACTGAACATACCCATACTTAATTCTGAATCTACCATAACCAGTCTAATGACCTGCTGTGGTAGATGACAATATGTCTACTTTCTGTAACAAGTATTGGTCAATACCTTCTCTTACATGGCGGTTTGACTTTTTGTATGGTGACATTTCCTCCAATTGCCAATCATGTTGTCTCATACTCCTGTTCAGAAGCTGTTGCAGTACTACATGATGTAAATGATTGCACAGTTTCTAGAGGCTCTACCATCTTAGAAGGTTCATCAGGAAAAGGAATGGGATTTGAGCTAAATTGTTTTCCACATGAGTAAATAAAATAATTTACATCAAGAGGATACTTACACCACATGAGAAGGCCCTGGTATAGCTAATTCTTCCATTCTCAATCTAAAATGAAAGATATTTAAAAATACTGGGCACAACACATGTAAACAACCAAAATCCTTTCACATACACATAATTTTGTGGTAATGTACTTGAATGTACGTATTACATTTATTAAAGCACACTTGAAGCACACATTTTATTGTACCAATCCATCTATTTTGATATGTAGTATAAACTTATTATATGAGAATAGTTCAAGTCAGTTTAGAACTCTATAGTAAAATGGCCATTCATAAGAAAAATGTGACGTTGCCAGATGTCGACTGAGGATCTGACTCAAGGAAATCTTTTTCATCTGCTGACGGTAAATTCAATGCAAAAAAAGTTCATACTATCCTACTTTTCACTATTGCTTATACAGATTTTCAAGAATGTTAAAAGTTTTATGTTTTCATGAGTCCAAACAGCTGGTTTTTGTGATTAAATGTTTGTTTTAGGTTTGTTTACTACCAGTTTACCAATTCTATCAGCGAGTGAATGGCAACATTGCAATTACCTAATATTTATGGTTTCAATAAGTTTTAGTGTAAATAGAAAGGTCTATGTCTTTTTATCGTCGTTGGTCGTTACATATGAGTCCCCTTCAATCATATTTGGCATAGTGACAACTTACTTGACATCGGCACTTCATGCATACTGGAGACAGTAGCAGATGCGCTGAAGATTAGTCTGCGCCCATGGTACGGAGACTCGATCTGTTTACTTATTTTATATGGCGTTGATGACGTAACCGTCAAGCACGGTGACTACAACTATACCAGCTTTGATGTAGTATGCAAAAAATGCATAAACTAAGCACAACCTGAATGGGTTTTGTTTGCTTTCCATCTATGCGACCATAACCATATACAACGTCATTTCAACCTTTTTACCAATCATAACTCAGGTATAGGTCTAGTTATTTGAAGTCAGATGATGAAAATCAAACATGCGGAAAGCAGCATACAGTCTTCAAATGAGTAGCCCTATACTGTGCTGATGATTGTTGAGAAGCATGAAACAACGTTGAATACGGTTGGTTATGGAAAGTAAACAGATCCTAGTCAGCCATTTTTGCTATGTAGACATGCCAATACCTTAAAGTGTTTCTATCTTGTAATGAAATTTTAGCTACATATGCTTTTGGAGCTTGTAATCAACTGATTTTTTTTTATATAGGAATGCCACCCATTTCTGTATCTCCGATGGTGACAAACGTAACAGCATCAATGACGCAAGTCATTCCAGCAGTTGCACAGCAGGTTCTGGGTCAACAGACAGTATTAGTAAATGCACTTCCAGCACCATTTGTCCTTCAGCCTGGTGTAACTATGACAATGGACGGCACAACGGTCGCTAATATGCAGGTTTGTAGGAAAATAAAAAAAACATGGATTACTTTAGACAGGCAAATTAGCAGTAACTTTCGACTTCCTTAACTCCGTCCGGCACCCTTATTACGTGGAAGAACGCAGACTGACAGCAACTCAGGCAGCATCGGTGGCCGCAGTGGTAGACGCTTCGTCTCCTGATCAGTCGCCGTGCGCTGCGAGGTTTCGAATCCTGTCCCAAGAGATGTTTCTCTTGGCTATCGATGTTGTGATTGTCCGTAGGTGGTAGACGGTCTCTGACTGTCATACGCGGAGGTACCAGCCGGCGGATCTGATAGGCGGGGCCAGAATGTGTGCATGCTGCATTATGATTCGCAGACCTATACTGTATTAAGGGGCATTTGCGAAAGGTATACGAGGTCTGGCTAAAAAAGAACCGGACTAAATTTAGGGTAATAATATTCGTAACTTTAAGAGGTGATTCCTTGCATTATTCTAAGCAAAAAAGTTCATTATAACTCATGTCCGAAAATCAATCGTTTTCGAGGAAAGTGAGTCGTGAATAATTAAATTTTCTCAAACATTTGGCAACCCTGCAACGTAACCGCGATACGAGCGCACGACGACCGCAACTGATTCATCGAATTGTTTACGTTTGTATGATATTTTTGTTGAAAATATGCCTTGAATTATTGAATACTTTTACGCAATTTTTTGTGGCTAATATTTTTTATTTAATAACGCTTTCAGTACAGCCCATTTACTTTAAAAAAATGACAACTTACCGGTACGTGGCGAAACACATCACCAATTCCCACGATTATCAGTCACTTATTTGAAACGATGCGATGCAAGAAAAAAGAAAAAAAAACATCCGTAAATCACATAAAGTTACATTTAAATGTATTAGTAATCACAACAACACGCGGTGATACATGAAGTGCAGGCGGAGTACAGCATTTACAATTATGTGAGGCATTTTGTTTGTCTATTTTTCTTCGGAAAATTGTATTTAATAAGCAATAAAATTATTTTGTAAGAGATAGTTAATTAATAAATACATGTATTGATACATTTTAAACGGTTCATATTCGGACATAGGTTATAATGAGCTTTTTTGCTTAGAATAATCACCTCTTAAAGTTATTATATTACGTCTCCTGATGATTTTTTGGGGGAAAAATAACATCGTTTTGTATTTTGCGGGTATTTTATTCCATTTTTTAACTCCCAAAAACTGTCCACAGTTAAATAACAATTTTATCTTTCTGTATCTTTTTCCTTTCCCATGTCGCATCCATCTCCACTAAACATCTACGCTGACCAATCTCTACACATTTATGTCAATTGTAGATTGTAAACATGCATCCATAGACATTGAACACACAAAAACTGCAGATAAGTTGTATATTGGCCGGTTGATTTAGCTATCTTTGTCTCACACGGGTGTTTCGGGAGAAGGAACTAGGTGATTGCTCTTGTCTGCGATTTTGCATGGTTTGTTCGTCTTGTAGATCCACGCAATCGTGGCTCAAGAAACAAGTTGGTATTACAAGTTTGAAAAAAAAAACATTATTGTTACAAATACCACAGTTAAAAATGGCCAAGTCTGGCCAGTGGCCATTCGTACTTAACCTTATCAAGCTTATTGTTACCTCAACCTAAAACTTAGCCTGAAAGAAAATGTTATCGCCCCGTCAACCTTTGTACCAATCCTAATTATAACTTAGAAGAAAAAAAAATGATATAAAAAATAATTAGGCATTTAATAAACAGATCTTATATGTTTTTTTGGAATAGTTGCTAATAAAGTTTTGGTTTACTTGAAAGTGCGTTGAAAAATAATCATCTTTTTATTTCAACCAACTAGTGAACTAGTGAACCTCCACACACCACCACCCCCACCCCCCCTCGACTACTAAAATCAGGGATTTTTGTGCTTATTCTGGGGGAATTCTGTTTGATATACTGGAAACGCTGCAGCTTCGCCTGTCAGTGGCTCAGTTGGACGTTGGCCACCGTGATTGCCAGACCCTTTATTTGCCGCCCGTCGGAAGAATGCTGACTGTTTTTAAAGAACAATGTGTCAATTTGAAATTTTTTGTTACACTTGGGATGACCGCTACTGAAACCCATATTTTGTTGAAACAAGTTTGCGTCGATGAATGCTTGCCATGTATTATAGCTTTTATTCGCCCAACCACAAATGGTTAACCAAGGAGAGCTGTTTCGTGCTAAGACACCATTTTCATTTGTTATTGAGGTCGGACGAACGAAAGCTATATTTCATGTTTTTGTTTTGTTGTTTTTTTTCTACTAAGATTATTGTATTATCTGTTGTGTCATCAGATCCCCCAGTTGGTGGCAGCAGGCAACGTAATCCAACAGCAGATCCAAATCGACAATGGCAGTGGAGACCCTCGACGAGCAGTCCCAGCCCTTCTGTCGCCAGACACCAAAAAGAAGGGCAAGAAGCGGAAGGTAGCCTCCCAGACGGTCGCCGGGATGCTGCACATCGCCGCCCAACAGAACCAGGGGGTAGTGATGTCCCAACAAGGGTTCCCGCAACAGATCCAGATGGCACACAGTCCGCAAGGAATCGCCACTGGGCCGGTCATGCAGGCCCTTACCATTGTGCCCAGCAAAACGGGCGGACCGGCCCAGATTGTTATGAACGGACAGGCGATACCGAATACCAGTCTAGGTGAGTAACAATTGAACATAAACCATGAATCGGCCATCTTAAAAAATCTTAAGCACTTATGCAGCGCTTCTCCCTTATGACAATTAAAAGAGCGTGGGGTGGGATACGTCTAGAGGAGGCGGCGTACGTTTCAAAATAGTCTAATCATATTAGACGAAAATGGATGCATAAAATGGGCACACCAATTTTTGTGGGAAAACTTTTTATTCGACAACAAAGAATGAGAAAATGGGTGTTTTGGGATTCAATCGAAAGTGTTGGCAGGAACGAAAAAACTCTTCAAATAAGATTTTTAGGTATTTATGAGACCTACAGAATGAGGCCTCACAAAAAAGGTCCCACTAATAGTAAAAAAGTTATGGCCGAAAACCGAGCCAAAATGCAGATTATGGCACTTACTGCTAATGCTACGATAATTTCATGCAGTTACTTGAAATTCTACAAATCCGAAGGCTTCTTACTTCTCAATAACCACAAAATTGGAGTCGATTGGTAAAGTAGTTTTGAGAATTTTACCTTGCCGACATGAGTCACAAGCCAAAGAAAAACGAAGGTTTCCTTTTTTTCTCCTAAACAAATTCAAACATTTCGTATTTGTAATTAACTGAACAGATTGGCTACGATATTCCAAAAACATACGTTATTATACACATTTTAAAACAAAGTGGATGTGTCTATCACCTTTTGTTGTGAAGAAAAAAATAATTTACAAATACGAAATGTTTGAATTTGCTTAGATGAAAAAAACGTAACGCTTCGTTTTTGGCATAAAAATAACAATTATCTTTCGGAATGGCTTGTCATTCATCTCGGCAAGTTAAACTCGTGTATTTTGCTATAAAATGCCCTTTTAACGAACCCTTTATATGGCTCAATAAACTAGTAGTGATGGCAGGAAGACAGTTGTTTTGGGATAAACAATTAGAAATTCTCAAAAACTACTTGACCGATCTACTCCAATTTTGTCGCGGTTATGTAGAATTAAGAAGCCTTCGGATTTGAATAATTTGAAGTAGCTCCATGAAATTATCGTCGCATTAGCAACAAGTGCCGAAACCTGCATTTTGCCTTGGTTTTCGTCCATAACTTTTTTACTATTAGTGAGATCTTTTAACGTGTGGTCTGTTTCTGTAAGTCTCATGATTACCTAAAAATCTTATTTGAAGAGTTTTCTCGTTCCTGCCAAAACTTTCGATCGAATCCCAAAAAACAGGTTTTCTCATTCTTTGTTGTCGAATAAAAATTTTTCCAATAAAATTGGTGTACCCATTTTATGCGTCCATGTTTTAAATACCCAATTGAAGAACTTGCATCAATAAAACCAGACTTTACAATTATTTCGGGGAAATTTGCTAATATGATTATACTAAAACTAGAAAACTCTTGCGGATAAGGCAAAGTGGTTACTGTATTTGCCCTTAACCTTATTTTTATAGTTAGTGACTCCGAAATTGGTATTTTGGTGCATATAGCACATAAATATGAAAATTACCCATTCAACTCGAGTTGTGCATTCAACAACCACCGGACTTTTTATGCAACGCACGTCGATTACGCAGAATATGCACCTACCTTTAATAAAGCGTTTTCGGTTAAAAAAAATGTTGAATATAAATGACAAACCTTGTGGTTTTTTCAAGTTTTTAGTTTGTGATTGCGTCAAATCTGGACGATGGAATTATTGTGCTTAGGGGGCTTAACGCGGTGGCCATGTTGCCAAGTCACCACGTCATTATACTCGTTATCCATTCATCGTGTCCATAGCTGCCACGACAATGCCGCGTAGTGAGACAAAAAGTCACCCTGTTCTTCGCACCAAACATTGCGTTTTTTGCGTTCGTATAATGTCACTTATTATTTGCCGTCTAGATCGACAAATGGGAAAGGTCGAATGGAGAGAGTATTGGTAGAAGATCCTACATTTGAGTTCATAAAGCTTATTAACCTTGGAGACAAGCTGGATGACGTGTAGGACTAATTCATTCAGTCTACTTGACTTTTTTTACGTGATGTTATGTTTATATTTTACTGCAGGTACACAGCAACTAATAACGAATTCACAGCCAACCCAACAAATCAACCTTCTTCAACCTGTGAATTTGATAAACAGTGCTACCGGGGTCGTTCAAAACTTCCCTGCAATCCAGCAATTTATTGTACCTAATCTAGGAGGAAGCATGGTGATGAACCCGGATGGTACAGCGACGATTCTTCAAGATACTTCCAATATTGGCATGCAGCTTCAGATACAGAATGTCAATGGGCAGAATGTTCTGACGCCTGTGCAAAATAGTAACGTCTTTAGTGGTAAGCTGATTAATGTCATCTACTTTTCTAAGATTCTAAAAAGCCTAATCTCAAATCAAACTGATGTCATTGTTTCATAGCCAACTCTAACTCAATAAATGTTCAGCGTTTAACAAAAAAAATGGTGGACAGAATATAGCCGCTAAAACGTGCTTTCTTTTTGTGACAGGTGGACAAAGCATTCTCGCCGCTGGTCCGGCGGGAATGGTCATACGAGCTCCTGCCTCGGCTACCTCTCAAGGAAAAATACTGCAGCAGCAACAACACAGTCCAGGAGCAGCAACACAATTCCTATCACCTAACAGCGCCGGTCAGTTTGTCGTTAATGCTGCGGGGGCACAGTTTAATGGACAGTTGAGTCCGTTGGTTGCTAGCGTCAGTCCTTCGCAACAGGTAATATTATAATTGCATTGTCAATGAATATGTCAATGAATATGACTTCCATAATTTGGCAGATAAAAGCCTAAACCCACGAAGACTAGAGATAAGATGATAAACTGCGTAAGGGATATACGTATTGATATGAAGCCGCTCCTGTCGCCAATGATGCTGTAGATCTCGGAAATCTAGTGGGCGCATAACCTGCCGTAATCTTTATGCATATTTGACTTATGTTTTGCCATGCTTTGTAGGTTTATTTATGTTATCCAATATTTCAAAAATAAATGACAATCATTGGCATGTCCGCAATAAAGAAACAGGCGCAGAAATAGGATTGGTAACTCGAGTAACGTAAGTTTCTGCTTATTGGCTTCATTAAGCTCAAATGGATGTGCATCGAAAACACTGAAGTGATGAAAACATATGCCCATCACATCTGGATACGGGTGTAAACTGAGTTTCCGCAAGACTACTTGTCTTCCTTTGTAACCAACACACAAATTGGAGTTGTTTACAGTTATGGTGATAGCATCAGAGAGAGATGCCCCATGCGCAGAAGCTGAAAATCATTTTCTGCGCAATGTACTAACTTCACGGTCGACATCTATGACTTCACCCCCACTCTATGAGTTTAACATCCTATCTCTAGCCTTCGTGTCTAAACCATAACGAAGTCCAAAAATAGAGCAAAGCTAATAAATACTTTCACGAGATCGCTCGACAATAGGTGCTCAGGGCACAATCATGGGTAAATTCAAAATGGATCGCTTGGTCCGCTGCGACCAGCATCAGCACAAGGCATTCAGACGTTCGCTTGTCGACTTCAAAACGACTACTCAGTGTTTGGTGTTTTACTTATCGCTGTCTGCAACAACTTTTGCTAGTGCCGTATAGATCGCACATTATGGGTAATTAAGCAAAAGTAACAATAATGAACTACTTCTAACTGCAAGACTGACAAAAAAATAGATATAATAATAGTGAAATAGTAACTTCCCACTATAATATATACTGTCTGCATTACGTGTCTTTGCTAGTAGAAGTTACCAACTTGACGTAGACAGAAATCATACTGTGACTCTCAGCTGGCCATCTCTGTCAACCGAGAGTATGTTGGTATCATTGAAAAACATTTATCAAACTCGAAGCGTTCGCACAGAAACATGAATACCTAAACCAAACGTTTAACGCACTTGCTCTACGACATGATTTTCTGAGCGGTTCAAGCTAAATAACGCGAATGTAGGTCCAGCCGTTTACGTCAATAGACGTAAAAACGTGTTAAAGTTGTGAAAAATAGGTTACCTTTTTAACAAATCTATCCTTTCCCGTTGACTTTGGCAGTTTGATTACCAATCACACAAACGCCGCGTAGCGGAAGCAAAATTGCTGACATGAAAATTTTTCCGTAAATGGATTTTTATTCGACAAGATATTGGAATTATCTAAGCATCGCAAGACAGTTCTGAATGTTCACTAGCTTTCGCGTATCACATGCACAATGCATTGCCTCGCTTACATCCACTCTATTTTGGAAATTGTGCAGCAAAAGTAATGTTTTCAATTCATCTATCCGATTTTGTTGGTCCTGGATCACAGACCGCCGGCAAAGCTGAACCATAAATAAATATATTTACAGGTAACATTCAGCACATCTCCTCAGCAGCAGATCAGGCCCAATAATAACCACCAGCAGGACTACATTCAAATGAATGGTCAAATGGGTCAAACTTTGATGGTTCCGTGTTCCTTGGCACCTGCAAATATCGCCGTATCATCTTCAAATCAGCAAAACACCACGTTTGTGCAACAGAATACGACCATAGGTAAGCGTAAGTATACTTTTTGTTTTATTTTATTTTTCATTTATCTTTAGCAGGTAGGGTAATGGCAGAGATATCATATTTGGATATCAAGTTTCTAGAACAATAATACAGGTAGATGTGCGTCCTGTGCAAGATGTGCCTTGTTTTACCTTTTTTCCAAAAATGTACTACCAGCTGTACCTGTGGTATCCTATTTAGTTAAATAATTTGCAGGGCAAATGAGTGAAAAACGGAATGAAAAATGTTATTAGATACATACTTAACAAACAGCAGTACCGTTTTCTTTGCATGAATCATAATTACTCTGAATAGACATATTATTTATAAACGCAGTAATAGTTACACCTGCCATAAAAAAATACGCTCGCCAGGTGTACTGGTGACCGCAATAGCTAGTGTAGCTCTTGCTAGCTCGCATAAAAGCGGAAAAAGTTCTTTGTTTCCGCCAATACCGTACCGTAGAATACTACGTTCAAAAGCCAAACTACATCGAGATACGGCGCTACGATGTTTTCGCGATAAGAAATCTCGTTGGATGAGCTAGGGAACTTCCACGGACGCAGACGCCACCTGTCTTTTTACTTTGCGAGAAAATCAGCATGCGCACTATTTTTTGTTCCAAGTGTCTATTTGACTTAGGCTTATGAACCGAGGATCTAATATCGCCGCAACTACAATTTTATCAGTAACTGAGAATATTTTTCCAAATTTGGGTGTTCGCTCGGTTGCCAACCTGCCAAGATAAAGCTGGCGCGGCACGCACATCTAGATACAGGTTGATTCTTTGAAGTTATTTTAAACTTGATGGGTACAACATGATCCGTGCTTTACCATTCATTTTGATTTGTGGTATTTATTTCAGTGCAACAACAGACAACAATGGTAGCCAACAACCAGCAGATCCAGAACTTTCAGCAGCAACAACAACAAGCTAGCGGAAGTCAGTCTAGTCAACAACAGCATCCGAAAACAGCAGCAACGTTGAGTTTGGATCAACATAACTACATAATCAGCTCTAACGACGGGAAGCAACATCATCATCATCAACACCATCAACATCCACATCAGATGCAGGCTATCGTTGTCGAACAACGGGAAAGTCCTAAGAACATCAACTACAGGTAATTAATGCCCAACTGTGTTGAACTGAAATTAAGGTCCCGAACAGAGTTTCAATGTCAGTTTAGCTGCTGAAACTGAAATAGAAACTGTCATGACATTTATATTGGGTTTTTAAAGTTTTTTTAATTTGGGACAGCAAAAATAAGAAAATGTTTCTAGTAAAATATACATAAAACTCTTAAAATAAGCGACGTTCCGAAAAAAGCTGGGTTGCTCAGGCCGGCTGTTTGTTTATAAATCGGATTTGAAAATGTCTCATTCTCATGGCAATAACGAAGCTGTCGTTTTGAAATTCACCACGAGTGTCTTCAAGATGCTGATACTTTGCGAGTGTATTCAGTGTATCGTTTTCCTGAATGTTTCCATCCCGTGCTGCGTAGGTTTTATATCTCGTCCATCTGTAGGAACGTCGATATTGCAAATTTAAAATGAAGTTAACAAGCTTGTGTTTTTTGAATCGAACGCCGACAACTCGAACAGTATTTACAAGCCACTTGTTTTTTAACCGTTTCAAAGCATTACAAATTGTTAGATCACATATAAACTAACAAAACATGTTAACAAAAACTTTCTTCAATTTTTTTTACTATTTCGCTACAGATTTACCGTACATTAGCTTTGATATTTCAAAAATAAAGTTAAACAAGACTGATGTTAACTGTCATTTTGCTTAACAGGCAGTCGGTGTCAACTCAAACGGCCGTAAACCAGCAGAACAGCCAATCGGTGACAACGAACACTTTCTGTCAAACATCAACCATATCAGCGTCAGTGAGCAGTCCACCAGATACGACTACTCTTAGTCCCATAGCTGCTGGAGGTCAAAGTCCACCGACTGTTGATACGACTACCCATTCTGGTAGTACTGACGATGGATTGTCGCCTGCACCTTCAAATGCTTCTATTGGAGATGGATCGGCTGGAAGACCGCATTCCTGCACCATGGTGATTGTCTTTTATTTTTAAATAGACTTAGTGTCACATTTATGATCGTTCCTTGCATATATGCTATACTTGAATATTACGTTATAATTATTGTATATTAATTTATTATTCTAGGCCATGGTGCACTGCATATCAAGCAGTGAACCAGACTCAGCGGATCTGTCCAGCCAGTGCACCGGTGAGGTAGAATGGTCACGTCGAATGAGCGGCCACCACAATCACCAATCGGGAGGCGGCAGTGTTGCCAAATTAGAATACATGGACCATAACCAACTTGATAGGAAACAGACAACCATACCGACCCATGTTGCGTTCGCTGAATCGTCGACTGTGATGTCTGGGTTGCATTATATCACTACGCATGGTGAGTATACTTAATTTGTAATTTCTAGTTTTGTTTTAAGGTTGGAAAATATTTTAGTAGATCAGTGTTGACCAATGCCGGATGCTCCCTCCGCTGTTCGATTTTCGTCCGCCGGTGCGCATCACGTCACGCTGAGAGTGATTATCATTTGTGTAGAGTTTAGGAATAAACTCGTATTTATGTTTGATGTTTTTTGTCAACTAGTGGGTCGAGTCGTCCTCGACTCGACTAGCAATAAACCAGTTATGAAGTAAATGGTGTTTGGTTCGCACCCCCAGTTATCACACTGGCGACGAGGAAAAGTTAAATATTTTACGAACATAGTTGTGCGTGATTTTTTTTTGTGTCGATCAGACGGATGTTGGAGTTTAAGTTAAGTGGGTCGAACTGGAATACCTACATTTTCCGATTTGAGCAGTACTTCATTGCTATTACAATCGAAGAAGAATTGAAAGTAAATACACTGTTGGCTGTCATCAGGGAACAAATGTTCGAGCTGATAATCGATTTGTGTAACCCGGACAAACCGGAGGAAATTACCTACGAGGCATTGGTCAGGTTAGTTAAAAATCATCCAAAAGAGCAGAAAGGTTCAAATTAAGATTACGCAAGTAAGAGCCCGGCGAATCTTTAGCGCAATATTTAGCTGCAGTTAAAAACTTAGCTAAAACATGCCAGTTTGGAAGACCACTTAACTGATCAATTTCTATATGGCCTCCGAAGTGACAGGATTTGCCAACAACTTTTCACCGAAAAAGATCTAAATTACATTAAAGCAGTAAGGATTGCCTTAAATATGGAAGCCGCAGAGAAAAATTCTCTCATGGTGGAGGAAGCAAAGTCTTCGTCGATGGCGATGGTAGCAGTTCACAAAGTTTCGAGCAGAGGGCAGCGTAACCATGGGCCACGTTCCAGCTGTTGCCGCCATTGTGGGAAATCAAACCACGAAGATATCCAATGTCTCTTTTTGCAACCACTTTATCAGCTGCTAAAAAAAACAGCATTTCTTTTGGTCCCATATCCAAAAGAAGGCTTTCAATAACATAAAAAGGGATTTGATTTCATCTAGGATACTGGTTCATTATGATCCCGCAATGCAGTGCGTACTAATCCACCAAAAACTCCACTCACTCCGTGGCACATAAGTCATCAGTATCCTTGGTCTAGAATCCACCTAGATTTTTTAGGTCCCATATTTGGAGACAAATACTTGATTGTTATTGACTCATGTACAAAGTGATTAGAGGTATTTAAAATGCAAACTGTTAATTCTCGCAATGTTATTAGAGTATTAGCTACGTTATTTTCAAGAATGGGGCTACCCGATACAATTATTTCTGATAATGAACCTCTACTTGTTTCGACAGAATTTTCAAACTATTTACAAAAAACGGTATTCGAGCTATACAGTCCCCTCCATACCATCCTGCTAGCAATGGGCAGGCTGAAAATTCTGTCAAACTTATTAAATCCGTGTTAAAAAAAAGCAAATATGGAAAACAAAAATTTAGATAATGCTTTGTTAGACTTTTTGCTACAATATAGAAATGCAGAGCATGCCACTACTTTCTATAGTCCGGCACGACTGATGTTTGGCAGAAATTTGAAAACCCGTTTAGATTTATAATAATAGAATAGTGGTTGAACAAAAAACGGAAAAGCAAATTCAACACTATGGAGGCCATTCAAAATTACTTGATGTGAGTGATAGTGTACATTATAGAGACTATTCTAAACCAAATGAAAATGTGTGGCTTCCGGGTACTGTAAAAAGCCAGTTCGGTTCTTCTGTGTTTGAGGTAGAATCCCCTAACAATACCATCGCAAAAAGACAGCGATCAGATTCGTAAAAAAAGACTGCGTGCGCCAGCCAACCTATCAGATCCATCGGAAATAAACACAGAAGAATCTAGTTCCCTGGCATCTGGTGAAAATGAAAACATTTTACCGGAGCAAAAAACTCAAGATTGTGAGCCGGGTACAAGTACCCATGTGTCTCCTAGGTATAATTTACGGCCAAGAAAATAACTCTTTTTTTTGAACCGCTGGTAAATTTACCTGTTATGTCTTTCCTTCATGTCGACTTGTAATTAGTATAGAGATGTGATTTTGTTTGGAATATTTGTTTGTTTATTTTAATACGGGAAATATGTATTTTTGGAATAAGGGTGAAGGTGTAGAGTTTAGGAATAAACTCGTATTTATGTTTGTATGTTTTTTGTCAACTTGTGGGTCGACATCGACTCGACTAGAAATTAACCAGTTATGAAGTGAGTGGTGTTTGGTTCGCACCCCCAGTTATCAATCACAATTTGAGTTGATAACGTGCATATTTCGACCTACAGGCCAAACGGTTGGACGGATTCTCACACATGCAGTGTCGTTGGATTTGTCTTAGCGGTGCGAATGACAAAAGCTACATAAAATTTTATACAAAACAAAATGGCGAATTTAAATAAAAGATTTCAACCTTGTAATTCCTATTTCACAGGCGATAGATTAAACGGCTTTGTAGCTCCACAATAGAGCCTATCGACACTTTAGTGTAAAAACAAGATAACTCCATTTTTCTACATTACCTACATTTTAGTATGTTCTGTGAGCAGGCATATCATGCTGATGACGTTAATACAGCCACTACATTTATCCTTATTTCACAGAACATCCTACGTACATGTATGTGTGAAAATGTACGCAACTCGAAAAGTATAAAAATGGAGTTATCTCATTTTTGTAGTAAGCTGGCGGTATAACAATAAATGGAAGTGACTAAGTCTAGGCAACAATTTTTCTCCATTTCCTTTTGCGATTTTTCTGGTCTTTCAAACTTTTATTCGTTTCTTTGATCCGGAAGAACATCCTTGACAAGAAAAATGTTTTTTTAGCTTTTTCAGGGCAGTCAATGTTGCTGCTCTTTAACAGAAGTTCGCCTATAAAATTTTGCTTTTATGTCACTATTCCGCCCCCTTTGAATGTAGTAAACACCTTGTTCAGCTTCTCAATTTGGTTCATGAAAGCTGTGGCAGGTTTTGATAATCCACCCTCAATAAGATGGTCTATCCAGGAATAACATTCATTTGAAGAACTTTTCAACCTCTCATCCTGCAATTTATGGCAAACAAAGGTGGCCAAATTTTCCAGCCCATTATACTCGAACTCATCTATTTCTTCCAATAAAACTTCCTCGTTATAGTCAGATGATACTGCAGGTGCATTCAGTTTATTCGTTGGTGATGCGGTTAGTGGAATGTCTGGAGTATCCTCTGATTCTACGCTGCAATACTCTGATTATGCGCCTTCGTTTCGCCACAAAATATATGACCTTATTCTGTACTTAAACCCTAGGGGACTTGGATGGTCATGAAGACCACCTTTTGTCCTTATTACTCCGAAAAAGTTTTCTATCACATCTTGATTAAGACGTCTTGTTAACAGGTAATAGGACGCTGAAGCGTAGATGTAGAAGGTCCAGGTGATGAGACTTGGGTAAATTTTCCGTAGGAATGGCATCGCCTTTTAGAGCACAATATCTTTTAGGGGTGTTTCAAATTGACCTTATAGGCACTTTCACGAAAATGCTCCGAGCATTTTTGTAAGATGTAGCAATTTTTTGCTAAGGTTTGGGTCTTGAGGAAATCTGTGGAACTTCATGCTTAGATCGGTTGTAGGAATTACATCCCACAACAGCACACCGCAATTTTATCAGTCTGTCAACCCACACAGGGTATATAAAGTATGTATAACTAATACAAGTCACAAAACCACCAACAAATCGCACTATATAGTATTAACCACGATACGACAATCCTGCCAATGGTAACCACAAGCCGACAACTCTCAAGGTGACGTCACGAAGCTCCGCCCACATGCGCAATATCCTATCTTTACTGTATGTGTATCGTGAGTGTTGACAAATATGACGATATTTACGTTTCAAGGTTGACCACAAGCAGCATTTGCCCAACAGAGATTTTCGATTTGTATCTATTGATAATTTGAAGGTAATGATAATATGTGAATAGCGATGCTTGTGGCTGGTCAAAGCAATAAAGTATTTCATTGTGGGCTAATATTGAAGTAGATTAATAATTGAAAAAAATGAAATATTCATTATTGCACTGTGTAAATGTTCTATTGGTTTATCTGTATTGGTTTACCTTTATTTTAAAGACAAGGAAGCAGTAGGCAGTTCAAGAAGTTATGAAAAACAACAGCATAGGCGGAGAATAGGAGGCGGAGAGTCTATCGTAGTTGTTGAGGATCGTCATCGCCTTCACCATACCGCGTTGTTCGATGATGATGATGAAGGTAATTTCAATAAACGCATGAAAAGTGTAATTGCATGACAAAGCATGAGATGTTATGCATGCACCGAGGATCAAGGATATGAACATTGTACATAGTAGTAGATGATTCGTTTTCCATGTAAGCTTGGAGCTTTTTTTCCTAATTCACACAAGAAAGAAGAACAGGTATTATTATCAGATAATTTGCATGTTCAGTTTTACTTTTGAGCATTTTTTGTAATTTGGTGATTTTTCCTACTTTAGGTTCAGTGTGTACATACAAGTGTGGATACCATGGTAGTGTGGCTAACATTTTCAAACACGTGTTCCGCTCACGATTAACAAAACTACTTATCATTCTGTACATATATTCTATCTGAAATTCTCTACACGGGATCTGGTTAAAGAAGCACAAAGGAAAATAGAGCATTGATCCTCGTGTTAACGTTATAAGAACAATGCGTGTACTGGGATGAGAATATTATTGAAAGCATACATACCACCTTTCTAAAAATAATTAGGGAAACACACTAAAGGATTAGATTATATTTGATACCCGAACCACAGTTGACAACATCGAGGTACCTATCCAATAAACTCATTCCCTATTATTTGTTAACCCTTCCTTCATTCCATTTTTCTTCCCTTTGTCCTCTCTGTGCAACCAGACCTGACAGACCTACTGACCTACAGAACTAACCAAAGCTGAGTAGAGAATCATGTTGCTATTTAAATAGCAAATTAGTGGTTGAATACAGGTATCAAATTCAAGATCAGATTTCCACATCTGACTCGACGTAAAGCTCTTAATGTCCATACAGCAGACTAAATTGACAGGTCCCAATAAAGCATTTTCTCACAAACTGCATCAATAACCTAAGCACATTGGCAAGCTGTATAAAAAGCTTTTGGTTTGGGTTAACTCCACATTCAAACTGTATCCTGATGACAATATTCAATCACAGCAAAGCAAATACGGCCCCCCACAACAACCAAATCAAAATCCTTCAATATCGGAGATCTAGTGTGGGGTCCAGCGAATGGTCTTGAGGCATGGCCAGGGAAAATCGTGAGTCTGGAAGATGAAACGGTGTTAGTAAAATGGTTCGGAATCGAAAAGTCTTGCGAAATGGGTAAGGCAAAGCGTGACACGTTACGAACGCTGACAGAAGGCTTAGATGAACACCACCGTCAAAGGAAAAAGAGTAGAACGTGAGTGAACAGTTTTTACTTTGGAAAGCAATCAGCTCGTGCATAGTACCTCTAAAGATAACCGTACATGAGTGGCTTTCTGATTATACATTAGGCGTTAGGCCGACCGCAAACAGATCGGAACATTTTCTTTCGCACTGCTGCCTAACGATTCACCGTGACGCAGGCGAAGTGTAAATAATGTGTTCATTAGGCGTCCCGTCCCGCACAGTGGTCGTAACATTCTTTGGAGGCGTCGCGTAACGCTTCGCAAGATTTCAACGTCATCCATCGGAATGGCAGCGATGTACAACTTTGCTCCAGCTAGGCAGCGCTAGTGTGATTGGAGGTTAAACTGTCAAAACTAGATGGGAATTTTTCTTGATCTCTCATCACGTTTTTCGTCTATTGACATCCTTGTGTCTTTATTATGTTTTGAGACAAAATGCGCTTTTGGAGCACTGATTGCCACCCCCTGTCCGTTGTTTTGTCTTCTTGCCACCTTCGAGGCCATATTAATATAACCTGTTCGATCGAATTCTTCAAGTGAATGTTGCGAAAAATATTAAGTCTTGTGATGTTCAGCAATGAAACCCTCAATATTTCTCTTCTGATTTATGGGCTGAGCCCAATACTCTTTTGGCAATCTACGGTTGATAAATTATTGTTCAATAAACCACAAACACACTCGGTCAGTGCTCACTGTTTATTTAAAAGTAAAAGGAAGATGGTGTGCAGGAAAGTTGATCGAACCAAAAGCGTTTCGACCAGTGCGCGGGGGTGCGGGTTGTCAAGGTAGATCGAAACATTTCGTTTAGATCTGTGTGCGGTTGGCTATGAAAGTTCCTCCTGACTTTTCGAGCTACCCATGTGACGCTTTCTCCAGAGGTAAATCAAAAATCACAAAATTCGAACCCAAAATACTCGACGGGGGTTAATGATTCCAAAATTGCTATTGTTGAAAAGGAAAAAAGCTAAGCTATTTATTTAGGGCTAAGTATTTTTCTCCGTATGACCTCACTCTATACAAGGCCCAGATGAGGCCTAGCCTCGAGTATTGCTCACACGTTTGGGGTGCTGCCGCCCCGACTAGATTATTTATGCTCGATACTGTCCAGAGGAGGGCTGTCCGACTGATCGATGACTGTTCTCTAACAGACAGTCTCAGGACCCCTTCGCACCGGCAGGCCGTCGGGGATCTAGCTTTCTTCTACCGCCACACCAAGGGGCTTTGCTCCTCAGAGCTCTCTTCCATGATGCCGCAGCACGATCAGCCTGACAGACAGACCCGCCTGACTTTGGCCTCCCATCCTAACCGTGTCAAACTTCGTAGAGCCAGAACTGGCCGATACTACCGCTCCTTTGTCCCTAGGGTGTCGAGATCGTGCAACAATCTACAAGAGGAAGCTTTTCCCCCAGCTCGACTAACCTTAGACAGTTCAAAAATCGGATTAACAAATTTTTTTGGAATCCTCATAGCAACCGCGGTGTCCCGGCATTTAAGGCTTCTGCCTGCGTGGCTGCTCCGGTATATAAAAAAAAGGTGGACTATAATGAGGCAGGCGAATATAACGTAGTGAAGGTCCATATTTGAAGCAAACACTCAAGTAGAAGTAGTATATAGACATTACCACCTTTGTTACGCTTGCGTCAATGACATAATAGATCCAGACGTTGTTATATCGTTGTATTCTAACCATCTTCATTGAAATTAATAACCGAAATGAATAACCTACTAGTTAGATTAGAAGTTTGCCCTGACTTAAGTTTTGTTTACTACAAACGCCCCTAAACAATTTTTATTTTCATCGGCATTTACCTCCAAGAAAGATTATTTTGGCTAACCGCGGTGCAGCAACAAGGGTGGCTTGAAATGTTAAAGATTACGTAGGCCCACCACTGGATAAAGCGTCGCATATGTAACACAATAAGAGAAATAGTCGGGAGGGGTGTTTTTGACGCCTAGAGTATAGTTTGGATTGAGCGGACAAGTGGGTGATGTTAGCCATATCACTATGATGTTCACGCTTGTGTTACAGGCTTTAGAAATATCACTATGTTGAAAGCGTTATGAACTTCAAAAATTACAAAGGTCCACAAAATAAAAAAAGTGGCGTGTGCTGGGGCTCCCACTATATTTTTTCTATGCACTTTTTCTCACTGAACACTAATTTGAAATGAGAATTTGGAGTCGCTGAACAAATTTTAGAGAAAACGCATAAAAATGATAAAAACCATATTACAGGCCCACAAAAAAATAAAATGTGTGTACTGGGGGTCTCGCTATATTTTTTCCATATATTCCTGATAAATACGAATCTGAAGTCAGAATTGAGGATTGATGGACAAATCCAGCCTGTGGCAGCATAACCTTCTTATTAAAACGCGCGTCATTTAGTCGTTTGATGACTTAGCGGAGCGCTGATGGTCTAGACTATAAAATTGCGCCCCAGCACAGTTTAGTCGCCAAGCGCTGGCACAGCGGAGGGCGTGCTTTTTCCGTTGATCTCTACTTTTCGAGCGGACGCTCTGTAATCGCAACCCAGCACATCTTTCGGAATTGCTTTAGTTTAGCTCTGCACGGGTATTATATAAAATTCATATAAAACGTCAAAAAAACCTATAAAATGTCATCTTGGATCGGTGAGCGTCCATCTATGGAGGAATGGCTCAACATTGTTGGCTGCATATGTTTTGTGAAGCCGAGTAGTCTGTAGTTTTCATCTTTGAGAAGAAAGTTGGTTGAAAAGCAAGAACGCATCTGGATAATTATGTGTATTGGTCTGCATGAGTAAAACAATAGTGATATTTGCTGTGTGAGAAAATCATTACTGAATATGCTGCCAATGAAGTATATCTATTAGCTGTGCCCGACGGGTTATTTATATGTTGTCCTTTCTGAAGACAGCTTATGTTCAAAGTTATAAATAAAGCTTTTTGTGTTTTCAAAAACTTTGAGGAGAATTACGGGAAATCACCACCACGCCCGCGTTGTGTGTAATTACTGTTAGCATATATATGACGTGTAATTAGACAATGTACAGTGAATACGATTATTTCTTCTCTCTCATTTTTGAACAAATTTGCATATAAGTTATTTCCAGAATTGATAAGATAAAGTGGATGCGCAACTAATTTCTAGCTTTGAATCTCAAGTAAGTGTATTTGAGACAAGAATCCAATGGAATTATCATCAATACATACTATTAGCACACAAATCCTCACTATGCACCTATGCATTGCCGTTTCCTTCTAGGTACAGTATACAAGTTACAGCTTAGACCTCCAGTAATGCCATCTCTGGGAACACGTTCAACTACAAAACGAGATCACAACGTGTCCATCAGCTATTGCTAAGTTAATATTGTAGAAAAACCTACATAATGTCACAAAAAACCAATACAATGTAAAAAAAATCGACATAATGTCACCTTTCAAGATACGTAATACCTGTGCTGTCGGACAGACAAACTGCAAGTGCGACAAGACGAGGAACTCGGCCCATTGGATCACCTAAAAACAGTGAAGCAACGAGAGCTTCGAAGTTGCGATCATCACGGCGTTCGGCGCGCAAACATGCAGCTTCCGATCGTTCTGTGAGGAGAATTATTCATGGTTATCTTCATTTCCATTTTTACGAGTACAAGATGACAATTGTGCAGGAACTTTCTGAATGTGACTTCAATTCTCTGATGAAACAAAGCATGTGTTACTAAGCTGTCACCAATCCTCGAGAATTGCATCAAAGGCCTTTGCCTTCATGTAAAGTCACAGTGTGGTGTGCAATTTCCTTAACTGGAATTATTGGTGTTTGTGTGAATTGTCCAAGGGCCCTACAAACCAATATCCAGGAAGAAATTGCCACCATAACGCCTCATGGCTAGAGTCATGACAAACGCCAGAAATCGGTTTACTGGGTGTATGGAGAATGGAGGACGTCACATATCTGATTTGCTCTTCAAAACTATGTAAAACAAAACATTAGACATGCGCCTTTATTATAAAAACAAATAAAAATGTTCTAATTCATTCAATGGGTTGAAAAAAGTTATGCTACCGCACCCTGTATAAAAGTAATCTAGAGGACAGATCTCTTCAGAGATCTCTGAAGGATGCATATCCACCTAAAATACAAAAATTACTTTCATATTTGTCCTGCCACCCCCAATTTTGACTTCAGATTCGTGTTCAGCGGGAAACAGTAGATGGAAAAAACATATTGGGAGTCACCCAGCACACACCACTTTTTTGTGGGTCTGTATTATTTATATCGGATGTCAATCTGAAACGATTACATGCTAGTGTGTATTAAAATCTCATTTACTTCCCGCCAAAACAAATGGGTGGTGCGCGACGTTCATATTCGCGCGCCCGTAATGAGGATTGAATAGGGAGTAAATAATCACTTGAGTTCTGTGATAAATTTTTTAATCATCAGAAGAGTAGTATTTCGAATTCTTTTTATTTTATTTTTCGAGATTCATTCTACTTAAAAACTGAAGTTTTAGTGCTTGCAACTATTGTCAATCTTTTCATGTTTTTACATATGCATTTTGCAAATTAATAAAAAAAGCATTACATACATTCTAATAACTATAATTTAAGTATCCCATTTACAAGAGATAAAGAAAGCTTCTTTAAATTATATGTTTTTTCTCTAGAAGTCGCAAACTGAACGGGCAGTTGGAAAAAGCAATTCAAGAAGCAATGTCAGAACTGGACAAGCCAAACTGCGAGTCATCAGAGGAGCAGGAGATGAAAACATCCCCCAGGAAACTAGACAGGCGTTTGAGAAGCAGTCAAAGATGATCGAGACAAGAGCAAATAACATCAGATCACCGTAAGGACTAACATCGAAAAATTGTTTACCTATATACATATACTGCAAGTATTTATATCAAAAGGAAATATGTAGCTTTACATTATTTTATACTATGGAAAATCAACCAATTTATGAAGTAAATACGAGCATTTACTTTGACAGGTTCCATAATAGCAAAGGTAAGCTTATCTGCAGAACCTAATAGCTAATAAGATATGTAGGCTGATTTAATTGGTATTGATTCCTAGGGAGATAATATATAATCATATATTCATGAATATTTTTCAACTGAATTTTTTAAAACTTAGTACTATGGTGTAATAATTATACATATAGAGCATTTATATATGGATATTATGTGTATAGAATGATATGACTACCTAATTTATACTTGCAAACACTCTGCATTTACGAGTATTCTAGATAAAACATGTCATGTCAAAATGGGCTTTCACTATGTATGTCTACATAGTCACAATTTACAGGATAAAAAACACATAAGCTATATATTCTTGATGTTAAATTCTAGGAGTATATGCACTCAGGTTTTGTTTATGCAATCTTGTATATCCGAAAAACCTGAACGGGTTTCGTGTCCAGAATTGCTTCTTTTTTTTTCTTGAAAATATACAATCACGCAATTTTGCGTCGAGTTCAATCTACTGCGTTTTATGATTGTTTCCTACTAAGAATAAAAAATCGACCAATATATGGACTGTAAAATCAAAAAAAAAAAATGAATGATAATTGGAATTATACAGTCATTTCCTTTGTTTCTTAGCGCGAACTTATTCCCAGTGGTAATATCTAGTCATGCATGAAAATAAAATGGACTTTTAAATACTGACGACAATAACACAACTAAGAAAAATGAAAAATGTTGATTTGAATGACGTTTGTTTTTCGGTGTTACTGTGATATTTGTAAAATCGATCATCATTTTTTATGTAACGATATATTTAATAATTGATACATAATATGCATATGTATATCACCGGTAAAGCTAATCATTTTGATAAATATAGCAGAATGAAATATACGGACGTAAGTGAGAGGATAGAGCAATACAATGAAAGAAAAGGTGTAAAAAGTAGTTTAGGCTGTAAAAAATGATATATTACCGAACTAGCGTACAGTGTGACTATATCTACAGCAAAATACGATTGACTCGGACTATCAGATAACTGCTTTATCAAAAAGGTCGAAATATCAAGCTACTATTACTAGATAGAAACTGCAGATACTGCTAACTCGATATTTTAATTTTATAAAATAATACGTACTTTAATTTATAATAATGTTTTCCCCCCAATAATTTATCCGTACAAGATAAACGTACTTTAAAATACCGTAGTTTGAGACTTCTATCAACAAAACATTTTACGGGTTAACATTTTATCAGCGAGTAAATAAATTCTTGGCAGCGGTATTCATAGACACGCTGTATGTAACTTGTATGATGGAAGAAGCAATGGAAAATTGTTTTTGTCAAAAGAGGAAAAGAGTACCTATTTTAAGTATTTATTAGAAATTCACATATAATGTGGCTATGGTAAATTGATACCATAAGTGGTTTAGATATTATGTGGAAATAGAGAGGTGCCCTTATATGATCTGGTGGTGAAAACACCTTGTATATAGCCGTATATCAAAATGGATAGGTTCTTACCGAAATTGGTTCAAATAATTACATTTTGATTTCTTGAAGAATCCGCATGATTCTTGCCATTTTCAGTTGAGCCTACATATACAAGTCATTATTGCTTAAATTTTAGTTCAACTGATTTTTGTTGTACAGGATGTTCCGAAAACGAATAAAATGACACTGGAAAGAAAGTAAGTTACTTGTTTACTACCATTTATCTGTAGTTTAAATATCTAAACCTTTTGGTGCACCTTGTATAACAAAACAAACACGCTGTCCTAGAATCAATCAACGATTTGATTATTCTATGAAATACGTAAATCTTTATCGAGAAGGAAATAGTACATTACCTACCTTGGTGGAGATGTATGCCATTATTAGCTGAGCACTTTTATGTCATGAGAAGGCATAGTGTCGACGGATATATATGGTATGAATAAAATATTTTTTCACTACTAACTATGATATACCGTGTATTCAAAAAGTTTCGGGACTACATTTAAAAATAGTATAAGATGGAAAAAAATATTAATTTAGTTTTCTACATACATCCCCCCTTCCCTCTATACATTTCTCAGAACGTTCGTACAGGATATGGAACGCCTGCTCAAAGTCGTCCGTAGGAATTCTCTTCAGGACTGCCGTCACATTCTGCTGAATTGATTCGATATCTTCAAAACGTTCACCTGTTAATGCCGCTTTCAGTTTAGGAAACATCATGAAGACCGTGGGGGCGAGATCAGATGAGTAGGGAGCGTGTTCGAGCACAGTAGCCTCTTTTTTCGCCAAGAACTGCTTAATAATGAGAGAGCAATATGATGGCGCATTGTCGTGCAGCAAAAACCATTCACTGGCGTTCCACATTTCTCTTCGTACTTGACGAATGCGATCCAGCAGTCGATTCAACGCCCATTTGTAGACGGCAACAATCATTGTCTGGCCAGGGGACAGGAATTCCACAGCTAGTAATGATCGCACACGTTCAACGTTTTCTTCCGTAGTGCTGGTTGATGGTCGACCTGCTCGCGGATCATCTTCTAACAGCTCACGTCCACGTTTAAATCATGGAAACCACTCAAATACCTTCGATCAATTTAAAACACTCTTCACCATTATGTAGTTTCAATCATTTGAAACGTTTGCGATGCATTTTTTCCGCACTTAAAGCAAAATTTAATTGCCGCTCTTTGTTCCATTTTGAAAATCGTGACAGCAGATCTTAACACACTAGCTTCTATCACTGCTTTGCACGCCTCGCGTTCGCGTCAACGTAGTGAAACTACTACAGTCGGTGGGCAATACATCAGTCTACGGGCTTCAGCCGTTGTTCGATAGATCGCGCTATAAGTTTTTGAAAAAAATAGTCCCGGAACTTTTTCGTTTCGCCCTCATTTTGAAATACTCCAATTTATCAACTAGTCTGATTCTTTCAGGCTGTCAAAATAATGGGATAAATAAATACTGTCAACAAGAATAATTTCGGTTATAAAATAAACTATTTGTTGATTGTAATAAACAATAATTATTAGTAATATTCATAGCAGGGACAATTATGTGCCCAACAAGCCAATAATTCAGCATGACAGTTCCGAATAATAGCATCGATGCGCGATCCACAGTGGTTCGATTCCGGTGCGATAGATGGCGCTTCACGCTATCTCATGCTGATAAATCGTACCTCCAGTATAGAGGATCATTGTGATGCTTTCGTTTGTTGGTCCAGAGATAAGAGACCAAGCCCATACCATGGTGATGAGTAGCAAAGAAGCACGAAACAGCTGTCCATGGTTGGCTGTCGTCTTTTCTTGGTCGGACGGATGAAAGCATATTGTTCAACCAAGCTAATAATTATTGCACACATACATATTTGAATTTACCTAGGGATTGCTTCGTTATCATTTTTTACCTAGGGGGAGAAATGTAACCTCCCTTAGAGGAGTGCGGTAAATAAAGACGATTTCTCTGGTTAGTAGTGAAAAAAGACAGTTTTCAGCATTATTCTAAACAAGTATCAAACTTGACGGTCCGTTTTGTGTCCAGGGGTTTGATATTTTAACTGTAAATCTTCTCGGTAGTGTTAGTGTATTTCTTAGAAAATCCGTTAGACCTAGTTTACACCGAGTGACGATAGGAAAGAGCATTGTAGACAAATTCCTCTAGGTAGCACACATTGATGAAAACATTCTGTCAGCATCCGTGGTATTCTATCTTACTACAGAATTTATGACCCGGTAGCAGAGCAATGCTTTGACAAACCGTTTCCCAAGCAGTGAGATATTTTCCGCAGCGGTTGACCAAATTTGTCTTACCAATTCCGTTTAGTCATAGGAAAGCGGGGAGTGTTTTCCAAGCAACGTTCTTCGTAGCCGAATCATGAATTGGACTGGACTATCTCGTTCTCAATTTGGGATGTTGGTGGCCTACAAGTATTTTTTAAAAATTCTGAAGGGGAGCAGAATACGGGCGTCGATATTTTTTTATGCTGGGGAGGGGGGGAGACACACAAGTCGTTAATGCCTTTGTCTAAAGTCTACAGCAGAAAGCAGAAAAAAATATTCCTTTAAAACTCATTATTTTATTGCTTTGGTTACGTAAAGAGATAATAAAACATATTAAAACTTCTCAAAAATAAATAATAAAACTTCTAGCAAATATTTTACTATAACCTTTACCTTTAAACTTATACAAAACAAAACAAAACCAAAATGTAACAAACAAAAAACTTATTAACCAAAACTAATATATTGTAAAGACTAAAGACATATTATTACATGTAAAAATTAAATAATAAAATCTAAATGGCTATTTTTCATTTTAATGAAACGATCTAAAACATGTTCATTATTAATGTTTATATCCCTATGTATGTGCAGTAATGCCAGCCCAACTAACCTTTCTTGACCCATTAATGCCCGAAGCCAAGACTTCAGTCTTTTGAGGGTTGAAAAAGTCCGTTCGGCTGTTGCCACTGATACTGGCATCACACATAATAAATAAAGCGCGTTATAAATGTTTGGAAAAATATTTTTGTCACATGCATCTAAAGCCAAAAATGCTGAGTCGGGTAAATTTACTATAGGTTCCCATTTTATTACCCATAAATCAAGCTCTGAACTTAGAAGTAGAAACAAATGTAACTTAAAAGATTCGAGGGAATTTTTATTTTCTTTTCCTAAATTAGATGAAAAAGTAGCAGGAATTAAATAATTTAATTCAAGTATATCAAACACCCTTTGATTGAATCGAAATTTAATATCACTTAATACGTTATCTAATAAAGGTATAAAAATACTTCTTTTAAAATATTCTTGAGCGTCGCAGCAAGGAACATTAAAACGATTAGTTTGTCTAGAATTTACTCTGGGAATTACTACGTTTAAACCTGATTTTTCATGTATTACTTCTATTTCTTTGTAAATATTTAAAAAGCACATATCTGCATTTTCTCTTTTTTCATACAAGACCGCGATTACATCATTAACTAAAGCTTGCTCCCGATTTATATCAATTATTTTGCTTTGATAAATGAAAGAGAAGACAAAAATAGTACGGGTAGGTACGGGTGATTCCCCGAATTCCAACAAATCGACGAAAGCGCTCCACATCGCACTGCGTTTGCTTCATGTGCGATCTGTTTTGACGAAAGAGCGTTGTTGCCGGAGTCAGGTAAAATAAATAAGGAAAATGTCGGCAGACATTTTTTGGGTAATGATATTTGAAATTAAAGTTTTAGTCTCGGTTTTAGTCAAGCTATTGCAATATTTTTTTTTTACACTTGTGGGTCTGAACAATTTTTTTAAGCTTTTTAAAGCTTGGGGGGTAATTACCCCCAGCACCCCCCCCTTATCGACGCCCTTGGAGCTGAATTATTTTTCCACCAAGTCATATGATCGATTATGAGATTGTTGAATTGTTCAGAGTTACGGCTGAAAAAATCAATTATTGGTTGTCCCTGATTGAGCACAAAATAGAAGTTCATGCGTCCACCCGAGTGTCAAATCCCATAACGATAGCATCAAAACTGTTTGTAACTTTCCACAGGTTTTCCGTTTCTAGCACCTACTTAATCAATTGCACATTCTGAGAGGCCTTCAAAGTCAAATGTTTCGTGGAGTGGAGCGGCCTAGTCTGCTCTCTAAGCATGCGTAACGATCCCGCCGGCGTACAACCCGTTCCCGCTAGTCGATCTATCCAAGACATTCATTATACCAAAACAATAACTGATATACCGAATACTTGATATGCATGCATAGATGTGTTTCAAGAAACGAGGAGCATAATTATTATTGGACAGAATCGGTCGAGCACATATACAGGACCAATGCCAAACGAGGAAAGTGGAGTGGGAGTCGACACGGCGATGCATGCAGCCTTGCCGGCTGTTGTCTTAGCTCGGCGTTATGATCTTATGAAGTATGCGTAAATATGTTTGTGCTTAGTTTATTTCTTCGGTAGATGGACTATAGCAAAAGACTCACGTGTTTTTCCTGTCATCCAGTGGTAGCGTCTCTCGTCGGCGGAATTCAGTCAACTGCTGCGGAATATACCCCGCTGCTTGGAAAACTAGCCTTAAGCTTGCGGAATGCCGACAAATTCTCCCGGTATAGTGGAAATTTTTACATCGGCGTGCCCTGTCGCGGAAGAAAATCCTTTTCGATGCTCTTCTCTGCCGTCTCCCAATGTGCGTCAAACCTTATTTGTGAACAGGTTATGCTGGTCAGACATTTCCTTTTCAACTGATAAATGTCAGATTCCTGTAAGTAGAATGCGACCATAATCAAATTTAATATAATTGAAATAATACTTTGTATAAGAAGTATAAGTGGAGTTTGTATAATATATTTTTATATAATTCTGTATTTATTGTTTATAGATTTGTTTTTGTTTTATGTACATGTAAGTAGTTTCGCTTATTTATTATACAGATGTACTGGACTTTCGTGAAGGATGTTTTTTAAGCGCTACCAAACTTTCTTTGTAATACCTATACATCATCATTCTCACGTAAATTACCTGTCAGAATTGATTAAAATTGAATTAATCAGTAGCTTTTTCACGTACTGCAAAACCGATAGTTAATTCAAAGTAATATAATATTGATTAGATTTTTTACGAATCACTTTAAACAAAAAAATATAAATTATGAATAGTGGCTTTATTTTCTTTTCAAAAATTTTCACGAATTTTTGGTCTATCTAACAATGACATTGTACAATTTTATTTTACGATTAGATGAGCTAATGCTTGTCCTAAACAAACCATATCTGCAATAGCATCACAATAATAGTAGGAAATAAAAAAAGTAGATATAACAGTAGGAGCCAAACCGTCCACACGATGTCATAGAGAAATATATTTTTGTTTATTAATGGCAAATAGAGTATGTTTTGCATATTTTATATCTCCTCGATATGGTATAATATTGTTATCATAGCAGTATGATCAATTTTGGTGTAAGGATGCCATGGCGACGTCGCCAGCAACCATAGCTAAACTAACCTGTTGAAATATATGGCAGCTCCATGACGTAGAGTCGCCAAAACGATCACTACTAATCGCTAAAAAATCTGCTACATATTTCAATAGGTTAGTGTGGTTGCGGTTGCTGACCATGCCGCCACAGCGTCCCGCTTAGGGACGCATGACACTTTATGAAATTTGATGTGGAATCGTTTGTACGGCAACTCGCAACCTGGCAAAGGTAATCATTGTTATATAAAATGACAACAGCGATTGGCATATCTGCACTAAGATTTTATATCGTGTCTAAATGTTTTCACAAACGCTCATATGTTAAAACATACTCTAAACAATTGGATTTGTTAAGTTTTCGTTCTTCCCTTGACAAATGTGGACAAAGCATTTACATACCCCCTTACCCTCTGTTATTCTTTAAATTATTGCCGCTTTATATTTTCATTGAAAGTGTATATATTTTTATAGGTACCTGTTTCTGTGTCACAAATACGAAGTATATAACCAAGTGTAATTTTTATGTGTGCGACAGAACGGAAATTGTAGGCTTTGACAGTGCAGTTACAAACTCGTTTTTGTTTATATTAAACGCCATGCCTGCCAAAAATCGTAGCTTTATGATTTTTGCAGTGAAAAGTGCTGCTTAATGTAGAGTAGACACAAAAATATTAGTTAACTTGAAGGTCTCACGAGGCTATTACAAGACGTCCTCAAAATATATACATGTCTCAAACTCAAAATTTTGAATATAACATACTTGTATAGCAAAAGTGAGTTTGGATTTGCATTTGAAGCTGCCAGGTTGTCGTACTATGAATAATAATCCAGTGTTGCGGCTGTATGTCACGTGTCGTGCGTAACACGTGCAACAGTCCGATTTATCTAATTCTGTACATATTGGAAGTAACATACTGTATTCATATACACATTTTACTGTTTGGCCTGCTATGTTGTGGTTAAACGAATCTCAGATAAATACTGGATTAGAAATATGCATTTTGTTTTATTTCATAACAACGCAGAGTTATAAGCAGTAACTATTTCCCAAAAAATAAAAAATGAAGAATTCAAGGAAAGGACGTAAAAATACTGTTAACTGGTAGTTTGTTAGCTTTAAGCAGTGGGCCACTAATGACTTGAAAGTTGTAACTAAACCGCAATGTCTGTCATATTTTGCTTGATAAGAGCTTGCGAAGCTAATTTTACCGGACTATATCGTTAATCCGCGAAGCGAAAGCGACTACCCAAGGTCGAGGTGTTTGCGAAATGAACCTGCACATTTAAGGCGGCTCCGATGCAGTGAGTTTCAAGCCATTTGTAAGAGTTCAGCTGCTTCGAAACTGACACTCTATTTCTCAATATTTTTGAATTCATTTAGTATGTTCAGAAGACAATTGCCCACGGTGCTACCGGAGAACTTTTTGAAATTTTGTTTTTGCACAAGATTTATGGTGGGTTGAAATGCTTACCTTTTTTTGTAAAACTTCGCGATTTTTTTAAAAAGAGCATAGTGGAAAAAATGGAAAAGTGGCTCGACAGCAGCCTGTAGGGCTTTGTGTTCCGCACACTCTAAGAATTTTATTCGAAAATATTAAAAAATGAAACGCACAAACCTCTACAAGTCGGATTTTGCACGAATTTTGTCTACTGTTTCGTGCTGCCAGCCTAAGCCACGCAGCGGTATGTACGGTCTAAGAAAGGACATATTCAGATAGTTTGGTTATTATTATTATATATATATATATATATATATATATATATATATATATATATATATATATTATTTAATACAATATCGTGTATATAAATCATTCTGCAAATAGGTGTTCATAATCGCGATCGCTGGTGCGAAGTAAATGTTCGCAACTAGTTACGTAAATGTAACTTCAGAACCAAAGCCCCGGTTGTCTCTCTGATCTACATTATCTATCTTACACAATGGCACAAAAAAATTCCAAAGATATGTTTTTTAGCTCTTATATGACATCAACATCACTCATTTTCGTCTAACTGTCGGCTAACCATTTGCCCGTTTATAACGTGGAAATTACCGTTTGGATTTTTATGAAATTTCCACACAAGGTTACTACCATGCTAAACCTTTGAGTTTCAGTTCAATGGCGGCGGCGCTATAGGCAAAAAACGAATAAAATAACAATCGCCGAAACGCCGTTTTTGACGTTTCAGGGTTCCTGATCATTATCATAAAAAATGGAGTGCTTAAAAACTGGGATTAAGGGAAGGTGATATTAAATGTTTCATCTTTGATATGTGAAACTTGTTCTATTATTAAGAAGCTTCTGATCCCAGTAAGTACAGGAAATTTAAGTGACGAAATCCGACGATTTGAAAAAATCTGTTCCAGCTTTATAGGTTTGACACTAAGATCCAACAGATATGCAAATGCCGACAGCAGGGAATAATATATTCGGATATTTATAATTAGTCGAATCATATTAGCAAATTTCCCCGAAATAGTTGTAAGGTCTGGTGTTATTGATGCAATTTGTTCAAGGGGGTATTTAAAACATGGAAACATAAAATGGGTACACCAATTTTTGGGGGAAAAGTTTGTATCTGACAACAAATAATGAGAAAACGTGTTTTTTTGGGATTCAATCAAAAGTGTTGACAGGAACGAAAAAACTTTCCATATAAGATTTTTAGTTATTTATGAGACCTACAAAATGAGACCACATGTAAAAAGATCCGGCTTATATTAACAATGTGATGGCCGAAGAACGGGGTAAAATGCAGGTTTTGGCATTTGTTGGTAATTGGACGATAATTTCACGCAACTAGTTGAAATTTTTCAAATCCGTAAGATTCATACTTCTAAATAACAACAGCAAAATTGGAGTATATTGGCCAAGTAGTTTTTCGAGAATTTCTAATTGTTTATCCCAAAACACCTGTTTTCCGGCCATCACTACTAGTTTATTGAGCAATATACAGGGTTAGTTCACAGAGCATTTAATAGCAAAATACAGGTGTTTACCTTGCCGATATGAGTCACAAACCATTCCGAAAGATATATGTTATTTTTATGCGAAAAACAAAGGTTACATTTTTTCTTCTAAGCAAATTCAAATATTTGTGAGTAATTTGAACAAATGCTCTACGATATTCGAAATACATACGTTACTATACACATTTTAAAACAAAGCGGATGTGTGTATCATTTGTGGCGAATTACTCACAAATACGAAATGATTGAATTTGTTCCTTTTTGCATAAAAATAACATTTATCTTCCGAAATGGTTTGCGATTCATATCGGCAAGGTAAACTAGTGTAATTTGCTATAAAATGCCCTTTGAACTAACCCTGTATATTGCTCAATAAACTAGTAGTGATAGCCGGAAATTGGTAGTTCAATTACAAATTCTCAAAAACCACTTGACCAATCTACTCCAATTTTGTTGTTGTTATTTCAGGCGTAAGAGTCCTTCGAATTTGAAGAATCTCAAATATCTGCGTGAAACCATCGTCGCATTACCAAGTGCCAAAACCTGCCATTTGCCTCGGTTTTCGACCATAACTTTTCCACTACTAGTCGGATCTTTTTACGTGTGTCATTGTATAGGTCTCATAAATACCTAAAAATCTTATATGAAGAGTTTTTTCGTGCCTGCCAATACTTGTGATTGAATCCCAAAAAATTTTGCCACAAAAATTAGTGTATCTATTTCATGCGTCCATGTTTTGAATACCCTCTTGAACAACTTGCAGCAATAAAACCAGACTTTACAATTATTTCGCAAACCAGGCGTATTTTCATCTAAAATGATTTGATTAATAGTGCCTCGCTGCAACACCAACTCCGAACAAAATCAGTCCAGCTTTACACAATTTTCAAATTACTATTGAGCAACAAACAGAACATATCTGTATAGCTAATATATTGCTCAGACTTGGAATACTAAAGGGTACCGAAAAATCGCAATGTTCAGTTCCTATAGCTATAACTTATAGTTAGTATGCCTCTGTCGCCATGATGTGTCAGAAAGCAACAACGTGTTAGATTACAAAAGCAAGTGTCAGACGTCTAGGGGGGGGGGGGCGCCTCCCGCGCCACCCTCTAAATCCGCTACTGTATCATTCTTTGTTGTCGAATAAAAAGTTTTCCCAGAAAAATAGGGGTACCCATTTTATGCGTCCATGTTTTGAATACTTCCTCAAACAACTTGCATCAATAAAACCAGAGTTTACAATTATTTCGCAAAGCAGGGGTATTTTCGTCTAATATGATTAGACTAAATGGGGATTATTAAGACTAGATCGCAAATCGAAATCCGACTCTGTTATGGAAATTTACTCCGGTACGCCCTCCATGTCATCCTTTCCTTTTTTTAAAAGTAGCGCCTACGACCGTTTAATACCAGCCCACTGTATTCCCTTTTCATCCCACCGTTACCTCAGGAGATGGTCCTCGTGATCGTGAGAGACGCGTGATATTCGCCGAACTAGATGGGGTGTTTCAAATTCGACAGTCACCATTGGGATATCGGAAACTATAAGAGATACAAAGTCGCTTAAATGGGGGCAAAGTTGCCTATTTGGATAATCAACAAAATGCCGCTCAGAAGGTTTCGAAATTCAAAGTACTTCCGGAGAGAGACGGAAAAATTCGAAATTTCCTAAAATCGTTTTAACCGAGTTTTTAATTCTGATTCCAAAAATGTATAATACGTCATATGTTGACATTAACAAAAGCTAGTTCTTAGAATTTCCTAGGTAGGCCTTGAAATTATCTGTCAGGTCAGTTTCATATACTAGATCATTTTAATTTTTTCATGACTTTATTTGAGTTGGGATTTCAAAATAAATTGCTTATTATCATTGCCACTTACTCTCATCTATAATTCTAGCTTTCTTCTTCCGACTTCCATCACCAAATTTGTTTTTTCATCTGAACGCTATATTAGAATTCTGTACATTTAAATCCTAAATTCACTGATGCATTTCCATAGTGGTTATATGGAATATTTAATAATGGTAATAACAACAATGAGCAGAGGTAAATCACAGCAGATGTTAAAAATGTTGTTCGTTATTTTCTCTGTGTATTGTTCATTATTCGATTTATTTCCCTTCTCATCCTTCCAAACTATGTTACTATGTTCAATTTTAGGTCTTGTCCACCATATGAAAGAAATTACTGTGATTCTTTCAAGGCGTACCTAGAAAATTCTCATGAGAGGTTTGGCAATGTCAATATATGGCATATCTTGCATTTTTTTAAATCAGAATTCAAAAATTCTATTCATCTGCGCAAAAATCCAATATGGCGTCCTTAAGAAAAGATGAAGATGATGCTTAAGGACAAGAGACGAAACGTCATATTGAAATTTTAATTATGCTATCTTGTAAAGGAGAATCAGTGGCAATGTTAATGTGCAATTTATTTTGAAAGCCTACTAAAAGTAAAGCCAGGAGAAAATTAAAACGATTTTGAGAAAATTTAACTAGACTGTTTCTGTTAATCCTTCGGCACGGGTAATACGTATCTTGTTGTTTTTTTTTTGAGATTTTGTTGGTTTTTTCTGACATACAGGATGTTAACTTAGCACTAGCTGTTGTACAATTATTGTGAACTCGTTTTGTAGCTGTACGTGTTGCCTAAATGTTATAATGCTTCAGTTATCAATGTTTGACTGGACTATGATGTAACATCTGCTTCACAGATGGCATTAATGGAGGTCTAAGCTGTACGTTGTATAATATAGCTGGAAGGAAACGGCAGTGCATAGCTACATAGTGAGAATTGGCGTGCTAATAATATGTGTTCATGATAATTCCATTGTCTCAAATACACTTACTTGAGATGAGATGAGAAGCTAGGAATTACTTGCGCATCCACTTTTTCTTATTCATTCTAGAAATTACATATGCAAGTTTGCTAAATTTCAAAAATGAGAGAGATAAAATAAAATCCATGATTGGTGAAATATATTACAACAGGTGAGAAAATATGCTACCTACAGGAATATTTATGAAACGTAGGGACAGCATATAAATAACCCATCGTGCACAGCTAACAGATATACTTCATTGGCAGCATATTCAACAATAATTTTGTCACATAGCAAATACCACCGATTTTATATACTTGCAGATCAATACACATAATCATTCAGATGCGATCTTGCTAGTCAACCAACTTCCTTTCATCCGCATCTTCTAAGAGATAAACACTACAGACTACTCGGATTTCTGCAACCAACAATGCATGTCGTGTCGTTGAGTCATTACTCCATAGATGGGCGTTTTTAATCGCGCTCACCATTTTCGAGCAAGCGTGGAATGAACTATTTGCGCACTAAATACTACCTAGTCTGCAAGATGACATTTTGTCACTTTTTTGACGTTACCTTCAAGTTTTTTTACATGATACCCTGCCGACGTCATCCATAGAGGTCGTTGAAGTAAACTTGCAATGTTATAATTTCACCAGCCTATATCCTGTGTGAAGGTTCTGGAATCTTAGCACGATTAGTTGCAAGACCTTTGCCATAGTACAGTGTAATAAGACAAAACCCGCTACTCCGCTCGCTTGGGTAGAAGTAGTCTAAAGTAGGCGATTCGTTTCGCATTGGAGTACGGAGATTGGTTTCCGAGAAAGAAATGCAATATTCAAAGCAATGCAACAGTTAGTTTGCCAATGAACCTTCTTATATAACATCTAAATGTAACTTATCCTAAAGGCTATTGCCTTGAAGGCCTTTGTCAGGTTCATTGGCAAGGGTATACTTGAACTTGACATTTGCATTTCAGGAATTAAACATAGATGTTTCCATTAAAAAGTCATAACTGTTTACGCCTCTCGGTATTGTGGTTCTCAGACGTGATACTGACAGACTCGACAGAATTTCACATATATAGATTAAATAAAACAATACTGTTTATAAAAATGTGTAATTAACAAACAATATAATATAGCAGAGCATAATACAATAACCTACAAAGGCATAACTCTCAAAAGTAGAAACGCTAATTATTCACACCATTTATATACATATACAGGCATATTGCAGATATAACGTACAACATTTTTGTCTTAAGAATCTCTATATATAAAACAAAGATACAAAAATTAATTCTCCAGCGATTTATTTACACGTGAAATTAATAAAACCGATGACAAGATAACAATAAATAAAAATTGCTGTGTGATATATAATTAAGTTCATCACTAATTGTGCGAGTAGCGCAAAATTCTGATGAACGCGGCTAACAAGAACCTTTAACAAATGTTCTGTGCATGTAATTTCTTCTGAACCCTGTGCCTTATTATAGTCATGCGAAATGCCATTCAAAAAAATACCGGCATCAAATCAATGTGATTAACCAGTCCTTGATACAAAAACTGAGTATACCACTATAAAATATTACATTACTATCTGTGCGAATATGAAGCAGATACAGTTTAATGGCATTTTCACAATTTACTGCTTAGATGGCTATTGTAGGAACCCAACACATGATTGCACTAACAACAATGTAGGTGAACATATATCAAAGCTGCAATATATACAGGTAGGGTAACTTTAAAACTAACCATTTGATGTGAGTGGTGCAAAGAGAACTTTTGCTTTGCACAGCAAGCAAGCACTAAAAATGACTGGTAAGGTTTGCAATTTAAAACATAAGTTAGTGATTTTACTAATAAAGATCTTCAAAATAGGGTATCACATAAGCCCTTATTCCATTTTAAAAAAATGTAAGCTGGTGCTCAGACAGAATCTTGAAATTTTCAACCGTTATTTTTTCGGTAAAATATAGTATTCACGTGTCAATTGCATCATTCCGAATTTGCCTACTTAACCTATTCAATAATTTAGTAAGGGAGGAGGACCTTTCTGAAAAGCGCTGTATATTACAATCCGACTTCCTGGCAACTGTTTCTAGTAACATACATGAATATAAAAATTCTACATATTATATCACTTTAAAAAGGCTTTTAGTTAAACATCATAATGAGTCAGCAATAATATAAAGCTGTAGAGCTGGCTGAACATGTTTCCTACACTAGCATGTTGTCCTAAAGACGAGTCTTAGCATTACCCGTTATCAAATTTCCAGTTTTAAAATTTCCCTCTGTATCTAAAAATCTATCACATTATCAAATTCCCGAAGCATTTCTGGAATGATTTTATCCAAAGTTAAAATATTTGATAAAATGCAATAGAAATATCAGCACATTCTACTTTTACAAACCGACCAGGAATGGTGTAGAAGGAACTTTGTATTCCAGGTGTATACTCTTATTGCATTAACAATATACAAAATTATTAAACTTCGAATATATTTATACTAAGGGCCTCTTTATGCACGAGATTGGTCTCGCACAACACTATCACTCCTCTCTATCTTGTTGGGACTACGGATATTTCAATTTGACTCTATGTCGAACATTGTTGAGTGTCACTGTCACGCGAAACAAATCGCGTGCATGAACGCTGGGGTACCTACGGTGTGAACATGGTCAATGTTCGACATATGGTTGTTTCTTTTTAAGCCTCCAGAGTATATCGAATATTGTCGAGAGATAAAAATCGTATACGTAACGGACCCTCACAGTTATGAGAACAACCTTTTTATGTAACATCTATACTTGAACGCAATTTCAAGTCTGAAATCGGTCAGTATTTGATTTCCCTTACTCACTTTTTTCAACAAAAATGAGCTTTGCATCAACTCCGAAGAAATGCCCCGAAAATTTTCAACACAAGCAGAATATATATCTAAAAATCTTGTACACGTAAAGTGAAGTAAAACAACATTAAAAATATTTCACTGCATAAAAAATAATCAGTCTTTTTGAGTTTAAAGGTACATATTTCAGGATAACACAATTGTATTAAAACAAACAGACCACATTTCAGCTTCAACCACTGTTACTAATTTAACAGTTTCAAAAAGGTCGATTATCGATGGTTACCTTCATTGAAACCAACTTGGATCTATTTGCTTCACTTCAATCATGCAACAAACTGATCGATAAAGCTAGGTTCAAGCCTTGAAATGTACTAATCCAAAAACAGAAAGCACAGTCATACAAGGGTGTGTTTCAATTTTTTAAGACAATATACCGAATTCATATAAAACACAAATATAAAAATTTTTATACAAGTCTTGTTACCAACTTGTACTACTTTTGTGTTCTATATGAACCATGATATTGCATCGTTATTTGAGGACACTCTGTATAATGCTATTTCCAAACATTTCCCTTTAGCTTTAGTTATCAGTTCAACATCGATTATCATTTATTTAGCATTTTACTTCGATCATCGCGAGTTTTAGCACACTTCTTACTCCAGTCCACACTTTTTCACATATAAACATATACTCATATCACAGATTAAACCAAACCATAACGTTGGAGTCGTCATCAATAGCAATTTCTTTGTGCTTCCGAATATGCTCCGTTTGCTATCAATAACATCCCGCGGGTTATCTGTTTTTTTTTCGATTTTTTTTTCTGCTTTTCACTTATTTTTCGGTTTGAGTTGCTACTCTACAGACGCTGCACCTCGGCTAGACGGCTTCCAATTTCGAAGTTTGAGGAAGCTGAAATAAAACAAATTTTAAAAACCAAGCCGAAAGCCTCGTATAGCGATTTAACCTAGTAGTGGTGGTGGAAAGGCGAAGCCTGACAACTAGGCCATCTTTGACCGTTTTTGCAACACCGTTCTACCAGCACTGTACTACTCCACATATGTACTTATCTAGTGATAACTGTTTAGTCGCAAGCCTTAGTGCCGATGTGTTAGCAGCTCCACGTACTAACACATCTAAGCTACCCAGCCCCTGCAAATCTCACCTAAATGTCCTATTAGGAGAACAGTCATAATTTGAAGCATGTCACTTTAAATGCAGCCTTGTGTGCTTTGATGAACCCTTTTTTCCATTTGCCGTAACAGATCTTTCCATCATTTATGTCTTATTGGAGTTATGGTCACGCCACAGAAAGGCTCTGGACTTACACATAAAAACCTTTTTAAGCTAATTCATTCTCCTATCCTAGAATATAGAATAATTAATAAAGCTTACCTTTTCAACTTTTAGCCTCAAATCCATGTTTAAGATCCCCCTTCTCTTAATGGACAAGGGATCCTCGTTAGATGTTCACCAATAAGGATGGGAGTTTTCTAGATGGTTCCAACTGGCGAATTCTGACCAAGTATCCAGCTTTGCCTGCACTGCGTTCTCATACTTGATGATCTATACTTGAGAAAAATTACAAATCAATAAACAGCTGCATTTATATTGAAAACTGTTTATCGATGAATGAGACATTTATTTAAATTAAATGGCAATCACTGCTGTTGTGGTCTAGTCTCTAGTGAACACCGCCCGTAGTTCCAACCCCTGGATATCCAAATTTGATGACAGATCCCGCTTACATTACCATTTATTGCAAATTTAGCGTCAAAAAATTCAGTTATCAATCAAGAACTAACCTTAGGCTGTGCCGTCGTGTTGCCTACAAAATCCCTCTTAGCATAAATATCATCTGCACTAAGTGACTTGTTCAACTGCACTGGCATCTTCTTAAGCACCGCGTAGTTCTTGCCAATGTTATTGTCCCAATATTCCGTTCCATTGGATCTATAGCACACGCAAAATTCTACTTTCTTCGTCCTCGGAGGCAGTGGCATCTTGAAACTGAAGGTGTCATACAGAACATTCACGCCTGAAAAAATGAAAATGATTTTATTGTTAGTCATGTCAAAGGTAATTATTCGAGCTGCGCCATGTCGGCAATGTTAAAAATCGAAACTATAAGTCTGCGGTTTTATATGGTGAACAGGACGTTATATGATAATATATACCTATAACATACCTGGCGTCGCACTGCTGTTTGGCACATAGGAACAGAATGTATCTTCATGTGTTTGCCAATTGTTGATGGATGATCGAATGAACACCTCTTTCTCAAACGCGATGTTTTTTACTTTTACTGTTCCTATCAACGCATCATCAGACTCCTTAATAATTACGTTTTCTAGAGATACCTGCAAGTAATAAAACTATATTAGGTACTGGTGTGCACCTGTTCCTTTAGTGTCAATAATAGCAACTGGTAATTATATTGTTTACACATACTTTCTCCAAAGACGAATAAGCTTACAAGTATTTGAATATTTCACATAAAAGTCTCGTCACTAAACGCAATGCCTGATTCGGTAGACAAGACGCAGTCGAGGTTTGTTAGATATCAAATTCCTTAAACATTTAACTGTACAACATTAGAATGTTGAAACCAAATGCTTGCTTCTGTGGTTTTAATGGTTCAGAATGCTATAACCGAAAAAGGTTTGGGCATGATGTTTTAATGTTTGGGCCATGGATCATGAAAACATTTGGGAAGTAAAGGGCATTCGATAGGAAACAAGCTATAACAAAAGTTTCTTGAAGATATTTCAGATCTCTTATCATACAGCAACTACTGTTCGCCATGTTTTGCCAGAGTGATGAGATTTTTTCCTCTGGGTCAATCAGTCTGTATATCTATCAGATCTTATTATCAGTGAGGAGGCGCACTGCCAGTGAAAAATGAAATGTAGTCAGTTGCAAGAATATAGCTTAGAAAATAGTTCACTTACTTTCTCTTCATCGAGTCTTGTCCTGAACTTCACATAGTCACTGGCAGGTTGAGCAAACGTGATTTGCCACCTGTCTTCCGCTCCTGCACCAGGATCAGCATCCACGCCCCTGGTCACCTCTTCTAAGAAATGAAAACTCATCCAGAGGGGTGGAACGTTGGATGGTTCTGTCATCACTCTTACCTGCAACAAAAAGATAACAAAGTTAGACCATCTTGGACACCAACACTAAGACCATAGATTAAAATAGGTATATGGATTTTCAATTACAATTTTCATCGTCACAGCCCCTTGCCAGATAGGATCACAGTAATTCCCTTAGGAGTAACAAAAACACACATTATTTTCACTTCAAGAAATATTTACTTTTAAAGATGGCATTAACCTTCCGAGGAAAGATCACTAAACCTTTTCGTAATTATTCCCAAGTTTTTCGTATTGTCAAAATTTCTCAGCGACGGAAAGGTAAATCCATGACCTTCATTGACATTGTGAGAGGCGGCAACGCTGGCCCTTGAAGACGGTGGTCGAGACGTATATACATATTATTACAGCGTAAGCGATTGGCGGCTCCACGGCAAGTATGCTTATTTTCGCGTAAGTACGGCTTTCAATTGTGTTGGGTAACTCCTGGTATTTAACTAACCTGTGTAAGAGGTGCTCCCTTATCATCAGCAAATACAACCCTTTTCTTGTTTTTGGTAGGACTTTGAGCGCCGCTGCTGCAAGATGAAGAATCATCTTCTGATCCTGAGGATGAGGCAGTCGAGTCTCCAGGAGACCTGATCACCAAGCATGGTCGCTTTGGTGGGGCTGAAGGTTTGGTAGCAGTGGCTGGTTTAGAAATACTAAAAAGGGAAAGTTTATGTCACAAAAATGTTTTTACTATACTTTTTTTATATTTTTCATTAGCAAAAGTGTTTAAGCTTAAAACAAAAATATTCCGCGTATTGTATGGTATGTATACGATTCAAAATTCGTCAACTGTGGTATTTATTCGTTGTTAAAAGTGAGAAGACAGATGAAGTACCTGAATTTGTGAGTTAGTGCTGTAACGATTGGATAATACAATAAACATTGTATTACTCAATCTACAGAAGACTCAAATAAAAAATACTTGAAATGTAGATCCTTGAATAAATAAAACTAGATAAAAATATCTAATTTCAATTGACCCGTTAATACATAGTATATCTATGATACGATTCGTTTAAAAAAGTGACCTTTTCAATTTGCGTAATCAAATCAAATATGAGACGGAGCAATGTATCTGCATAAAAAACGAATATAAGCTTTCCATGTCCCAGATAAAATTGCATTTCAAAATAATTAAAATGCTAAAGCGCTTCCTTATCAGCAAAGTGGATTTGGTTCATCGCAAAGCGACCTTTACAGACGTACTGTTCACTTTATCATTCCTTTGTCCGTCACTTTTGTTTTGACTTCTTCCGTATGTTCGAAGGTACGAAGTGTTTATGTTTTGGAAGATAAAATATTTCGCGTTTGTTATTATTTTTGGATTATCGTAGTACAATATACAGGACATTTTCAAGGACACTTGATACAACGTGTGCCATAATTAGCAACCTACTATTTTGGATATCCCTGCTGAAGTCACTCTTCGAGCTAAATGTACCGTTGATAATTTCCATCATTCTACACAAAAATTCTTGGTCTGCTAATTCAAATTTTTACTTTGACTTCTATAACATCAAAAAGATCTCAAGTCCACCTCTGTAGCTCAAAAAATAAAATGCCAGTCAAATTACTTTGATAACTATATTAGCGAATTTCAAAAACGCAAAATCACGGATGTATACGTTTTCAGTTAATTTGTTCTTCCGGGATTGAAAATCATAGCGCCGCCTAAGGGACAGTAGCACAAAACACTTTAGCTCTTTTCAAAGTGTACTTATAAATTCAGTTTAATGTTCTGCTACTCTCTCATAGATCCCTTTTTGAACGCCGAACTACAGTATATGGTTGGCTATCTTCAGGTAATCAAATGTATGTAATGTATGCATCAGACTTTTCATTCGCTAACATAGAGGTATGAAGGACATTCTGTAGTGCATGGGATCGTTTGATTCTACCATTTGATTTTCTACTCGACCTGATATGTTACTTACCCAATGGTATCTGTAGACTGCGAGTACTGCAACTGATGTGGCCGATTGCAGTACCTTGGCGCTTGAGTCTGACCAGGCATTCTGGGAAAAGCTCTTAAGGCGTAGTCGGAACCTCCAAGGAAACCTCCAGAGGGCTGAGAAGTGTGCGAGAATACTGGCGGACTGTGAGATACCAGCATTTCGTAATCAATAGAGCACATATCTGCAACAAGCGGTTGCAAGTGTGAGATAGACGATATAGTATTTTTAGGATGTGCATTATAAAGTTACTGCCAAAATCCAAAATTGGGTAATGAATGTGCGAATTAACAGCGGCGTAGAGGTTTGAGCGTTCGAAAAAAAAATTGAAAAAATTCGATAATATATGGGCAAAACATTGGAGTCAAGCATTCCAGCTGGAAGTGGGCAGTTTTGTAAATTACGAGGCTTCCCACATAACTTGTTTTCTAAAATTTCGTCCTGCTATATTTTCAAAGCGAAACCTTTTTCAGAAAAATCATCAAAAGACGAAAAATTTTTAGAATAGCTGAAAGAACGGTCTCTTGAGGTTTTTACCTAGAGATGATTACAACTTGTGAACACGGATTTTCATTTCTGTATTTCTCAACTCCAGTGGATCCGCCACTGATATATTCACGAACAGTTATGGTTTATGGCGCACGGTTACATTTTTTGAAGCACCGATCGAAATGTCAGGCTCAGAAATTAATTTATCTGGAATCAATATCAAAGAAATTCATTCAATTTGCTGTTAAAATCATCTTCATTTGTATCTGTTGTAAGTTCTGACCAAATTCACTAAAACAATATAAAGCTCGAAGTTTATTTTGCTCCGCATAGCTTGTGCTAGTGTTATATGTTTACTAACTTAGATACCTCATACGCTGAGTGCGTGCATTTTGAATTATCCATTACATTCTATTTTACCTCTGTAACAATGTTTCTATATAGTTCCACGTGGTTTGCATTGTTTCCATAAAAATTTCGTGTCCTACATCAACGTATTAAACATTATGCAGAAGGTCTTTCTACATCGGTAAACTATAATCCCAGTTCAGTATATATTGCCTTAGATGATAAACATCGCTTTATTCTAGCGTAATGTTTGTTCGAAATTCCAAAACAGCATTTCAAGATACTTGTGTTTAGATATGTAATACGTCAAATATAGTTGTAGTCACCGTTTTTGTTTAAGTCATCAACACCATATGAAATAAGTCAACATATCAAGTCTCCGTACCATGGGGGGAACACTGCGCAGACTAATCTTCAGCGCATCTGCTACTCTCTCCAGTACGCATGAAGTGGCTAACAGGGGACCGCTGTTTTCATTCTCTTCCTGGAAATACTCCAATAAATTTAGCACGAGCTGTCGGCCTTCTCCATTGATCATATTTCCGGGCATTGTACAATTTTATACTGATGATTGATACCAGGGGCTTGATTCTAAATGAGTTTCGACCATTGAAATTAATTTCGATGGCGCCTGGAGACGATATACTTGATTCGCTATAATAATTTTGACATCTGATTACATTGATTTTCTATATTCAAATTATCATGGCAGTGTCAAAATTATCATAGCTAATCAAGTATATCATCACAAGGCGTCATCGAAATCAATTTCAACGGTCGAAACTCACTTAGAATCAAGCCCCAGGACAACTCAAATTGCCCGACGATGTCAAGTAAGTATTCACTCTGACAAATATGATTAGAGGTCACTCATACGTAACGACAAAGTTTGCGAGACGGAGACACGCTACTAAAAAACGTATGTCTTTGAGCTTAACGAACAAACGTTCACACACAGGGGTAGGTTGCATCTATATGTATGAGGGAGATGGAGATATATTAGGGGATACTGGTAGTCCTACTTTGACCCGCCAAGAACGGTGACTACAACTATAGGAGATATCAATACCAAGATTTTCAACAGTTATAACCGAATATGTTTATGTTTTAAGCATAGTCCTAGGTTGCCTCTCTCAGAGGCTTTACCTGGAGAAATAGTTCCCTTCTCATAGATTTCAATTCATAAAATCATTTAAATATCATTATACGACAATAGAACGATATTTACATCAGTTTATTTCAAAATCAATTTTCACATTCTCATATTATGACCCTCAAAACGGCATTTTGAAAGCTTATCATTGCCTATTTTGTGTCCAGCTATAACTCCGAGCCAAGCCATATCGCATGAATCATTAAGACTGAATAGTGAATACTCAATAGTAAATGAATAATGAATACTCAATAGTAAATCAGAAGTATCATAGGATTCTATGATGTGAGATTAAACATATAGAGTAATTCGTTATTATGTCAACAATTATTACAATTCAATTAGATACAAATCACGTGCCTGCATCTTGCAAATTAAACGTGATTACTCTTCTAGAATGTGAGATTCCTTATCGTATACCACGTTTTGGCAAAATATAATGTACAAAGTTCTACTGACAACCTATCCAAACTCCAATTTCTTTAATTGCGATAATAACCATCCTCTTTCATAAATTCTGATTTACCTAATACATAGAAATAAACAATCTACAAGTAAACACGACTGAGTATTTATCGACCTTTTCGGACTTCTTGAATAGATAAGAGTTCCTTCAATGAGTGATTGCAAATTTATTTTTGTAGCATGGTATTGAATAACAAAAATAGTATTATTAGAGATTGGAACAGATGAATAAAGTCAGAGGTGTATGTATTATTAAACCGAATGTGTGGCATTTGTTTTCATTCATCTTAGATATTGTTGCCCATGCCGAAATAAAGATACGTTTCCACCAACAAACTTGCTTCGCAACAAGTGGCGTGACATGTGTCGGGATGTGTGTAGTGCAATGCAAAGAATCTGCAATATGTTATCGGGGCGAAAATTTGCCATATGGCTACGAGGAGCAACATATACGGCAATTTGCTAAAACGGAAACGTAACTTTAATACCCTAAGAATAAAACTAATGCAAGCAAAAATTCAAAGTACCTATTTAGATTTTTAAACTCTGGCATTATTCTATTGCACGTATTCGGAATTTTCTACTCTGTATGACGTCTGCTGCATTTATGGTAAGTAACACGATACCTGACCTCGGTCAAAAATGAACCAATACAGACCCTTTAAACCCATACAGTGCATTTTAAAATCAGGTAGGTTCAGAATGTGAAATCATTATTCTATCCCCGACATCAGTATTTCACCGCTGTTCAAGGAGTGACGAATTCTCAAAGGGCAGCCTTCTATCCAAAAACGTGGTACAATATACAGTCATCCTTTTTACGGTTTATTTCGGTACATACTTAGCAAGCCAATGCAACGCTGTCATCAGTTCATAAAGGATTATTAATATAAGCAATTACGAACATGTATAACACAGAAATGGATTAAGTGATCCACACAGACCAATACGGTTAGTCCATAGTCCCACACATTTGATAATGCTGCGATCTAGGAACTACCTACCCTTACCGAAAGTATCGGCCATCTGGCAACGTTAGCCATGCTATGATGACCAGCTCCAGCAGTGTGGCAGTGAAATTAGCGGGGTTGGACGCGTATTAATGTACTACCGACAAAAGTTAAGATATGCTCTCTCCCACCCCCATTTTGTAACCCCTACATTTTTTCCGAAAATGATCAGGAGCTTCTGAAACGTCAAAAAACGAAGATTGTTCGATGTATGGTATGGTACATGTCATATAATATCAAAAAAACAATATCTCGTTTTCAAATTTTTTTGCGATTGCATTCTCACCAGTAGGCGAGGGAAGTGAAACAACCTCTCGTATCTAAATCACATCTCTTATGCATGCTATAAACCATATAATGATTGTATCAAACCAAGATGACACAGAATATTAAAATACATCGAAATGTCAAACAAAGTATATCTTAACTACTAAAACTAAAAATACAAACTGTTATCAATATTGAATGAATGGTATAAGGTCATCAAATCGTAGATAAATGGGTGTCTGATGCGTATTATGCGATAGCCCGGCGCCGCTCTTATAGAGGAAAATCCCCATGTTTTCCCACGATCCGTTCGGATGCAAGAAGTTTGAAAGTTTTCATCTCTTATCAAAGTTGCAACATTTTCAACAGCAAACATTAGTATCGAAACGTGCACTTTGATATACAATTTTGAGGGTAATTATTTGATACGATAAGATGATGGACGTGGTATAATCGTTGTTGATGTCTTAACGCTGGTTGCAGATTGTTTTTTAAAAACGAAAAATGGTGCCAAGTAGTTGACACCGTACGTGGTATAATCAGCTTAGGAATATGATCGATTATCAGAGGACTACTCTACAATTTCGCCACGATAATGTTCCTCAAGTTTTATACGGGAAAACTTCAATATAACTGAAACCACCAATTTCTAAACTTTCAGGCCAAATATTTTCAAAACTTTCTTCGAAATGTTTTAGTGAAATTCAAGTTTTATATGAACAGTCTTTCAAACATGAAATAATATTTGAAAGTGTATGCATAAATATTGTTCCCACAAACCATCATCAATAAAGACTGATTTCCTATTCTACACAGATTGATATCTTCATTTTTAGTTTCCATACATTGAAGCTGAACATCGTTTTTCAAACCCCTAAAAAGTCATTTCTCTAGATCAAAATTGTGTACAACTTAAGGGCTAGACGAACTAAAATATTCCTCTTCCGCTTCCGCTTAATTTTTTACTACGCTCTAAAATAGAAAATTGCTAGGTAAACGGTACAATAGATAGATAAAATATTTTGGTTTGGTTTGGCACTTCCGAATTATTCAAATTTCATCCGGTTTTTCCTATATTTTTAACATAATGGACATCTCTCCTATAAAATCTGACGGGACGGTGAAGAATGGTTCACACAAAGCGACAATAATTTATGGAAGTTATTTTGCTACATCTGAACTATAAATAAGTTTGTACTTAATATATATTTCGATTAAAGTTTTACGAAAGAATAAATACGATATCAACAACGACGTTTTTGATAAAAAGAAGTATTGTCGTTAAATATACGTATTCAGCTTTGATATAAACGTCTGCCTTATGATTTGCCTAAATGCAAATTCATTACCTTTTGAAAGCTACGAAAATCTTTTTAGATTATGAGACAGTCATGTGTCAATTTCTAAATGTAGCGCTTGGATATTGAAAGTATGTCACATATTACCTATTACACAAACAGTTACAAAAAATGCATTACCATAGCAGGTCGATACAAAAAAGGTGTTTAGCAACATACCTAATTTCCTGAAATTCAATGAAAGTTTCACTTATTTTATTAGCTTCTTTTGCGGTGATCGTCCTTTCACTATCACTTTAAGCACATATTTTTGTACTTGCACTAAATTTAATTACCGTATGCAAAAACAGCGCTTGTATTACTTTTTTTTCTGGAAACCGGAACGTAGCAGCAACAATTTTATTCTTCTTCCGATTTTTTTGCGATTTCCGTGTTCGAACGTAGCTTATACTTTATCGGCGTAACCGAACGAGAGTTGCAGTAATTACGAGTAGTGATAGATTTACTGATTGTGTAGTGTTATAGTGATGACCTCGCTCATGGTGCCGGCACTACTTCATTGGAAGCGACGGTCGCTCTGCCGGTCGCTTAAATCCGGAGGCGATGTTGTCGGATCACTAGGCTAGTGACTGAAACTGCCACAAGCAAATCGGTGGCTTTTCACACTACTTCTGTGTGGTATAGTCTGGAGCGGCAATTTAAAGCAGACCAGTACGTAGCGATGCCACAATCAGTTCACGTGGGCGTTAAATTGTGACATCAGTGGTCAGGAATTGTCGACGCGCGTCTAAACGCGTTTCCGTTTAAATTGTCGCGCGTTTCAGCACGTGGTTTTTTATGCAGCGCGACAATGTAACGCCCGTATGTTGCAGTAGTAACTTGTTGAGATGACTGTATATGATCACTGACTTAGTTTTTCCAACAATAAGTTTCTTAAGAGTTTAGTCAATTACTATACAACATCATGTCATTAATTTGCTTGCGCGCACACATTAATTGGGTGATTGAGGGATGTTATTTTCACTGGCTTTCCGACAACACGCCAAGAAATTCATCACAGACATTGTCGACATTGTAGTTGTATTATCAGCCATCTCATAACGAGGATCAGCGAAAAGTAAACTTGATATGGCTGGCACGCCCATGACAAGCAAGAGACGTACATACGGATTCCATGAATATGGAAGACTCATACGTTAACGAACAAAAAAGGCAGACTAGATACGCATGTCTATGAGCTAACACAAACAAACTTTCGCACACAGAAGCCTATTGCATATGTATGTGTGAGATGGACGTATGAAAGTAATTCCTGTAGTTTGACTGTGACCAGCCGAAATTAGTGTACAATACTTTCATTATTATGTAGCTGTTTTGTGACTCAATGTGTTTTTATTCGGGAATGGAAGTAGGACGTTATTGCGACCATGTACTCATATGACAATACTATCTTAAATATTCGAAAATGAATGTTGGTTAAAAATACCTAACAAAATTGCAAAAAGTACTAAAATAAAAAGAAAAATATTGATGAAATTTTGAAATTCATATGCCCCGAAATACTGAAATGCAAAAATGTCACAAATGCAATTAACTTAAAATTTGAGTTATTTTCTGTGGCCAAGAAAATGTATTAATTGACCAACTAAATTAAATAATCAATAATCAGTTTAATTAAAATTAGATCGACAGATTTACCGACTCATTTCAGAGCGGGGGTAGAAACATCTTTTAGGGGAGGAGGTTGGGAAAATCTTGAATATATCAAATATACTACATATGATATTATGTAAATGAATATGCAAATTTTAGGAGGCACTCAAATCGACATTTTGCTTTAAGTCTCTGTAACCATAACTCAACATTGGCGTTTCTCAGGGATCAATTTTAGGGCCTCTACTTTTCATCTGTCATATTAATGAAATTGAAGTTTTTTCCCCAGCGCCAATTTGACGCTTTACCCAGATGATGGGTCAATCATATTGTCCAACAAAAGCGATCAAGCGTTACAACAAGACCGTGAAAACCTAACTAAACAGTATTGTTGTTTTAGTGCGCATGATCATCACCGGAAATTGAAGAAGATGGCAATAATGAGATTCCATAACGTATGCAGGAAAATGGCTGATTTTCGAAAATCTATTCTGATGGCTATATGCTGTTTCAATTATTGATCTTTCATCTTATTGGAAACGTTACTGTCGGAATATTCATTACCCCTTTAAGATAACCGATTTGCGTAGAACTATTAAACATCACTACAAACAGATAACTCACGAGACCAGACACGTGACTGAGTCAATCATAGCGGAATTGTGGCGCTACACTCACATTTGCAACGGGTCACAGACGACTGAGATGCGAACAGTACTAAATGGACACTAGATGTAAACACGAGTCAATATGCGTGTTTCTAAAAATAGTATCTACTTAATAAAAGAGCAGTGGGGTGTAAAACATATTGATGATAAAATTCTGGCACAATAAAATCTTGAATTGATAAGAGCCTGGTGGAACGTAAAGCTTCCCTTACATGATGCAAAATATTCTCATTCCTATTCTCAAATAGGTTTCCCCTGTATCCCCCTATAGCCCCACGGTACCCAATGGGTGTTTAGGCCTTAGGCCTTCGTGGTAGTTGGAGTATAAAAAAAAGAGGCCGACTAATGAAGGGCATGCGCGGCAAATGAGAAATTGTGTCCAGCTACCTTCCTTGCCATCAACAGAAGAGATGATGTTGCTGGATAAAACAAGGACTTGATAAAAAATTGAACTGTTGCAGAAAAAAGTACTTTCTGACACTAGAAGTTCAGAAACCATAGGAAGAATGTCCAATTTTTTCTTCTTCTGGACATAATTTAATATTCCGCATGAAAAGATTATATTTGCATTTTTATTACCTTTTTTCCATATAGACGTCTCGTTTTTATGTATATGATATCTGTCACAGATCCAAGCCAGTGCAAATGATGTATTTGAAATTAGCGTTATTGAGAGGACGCAACGGCCTGAAAAAATACATGCACAAAATAAAGTATGATGGACGGCTGAAATACGCCCCTAGCGACAAAGGGCGTCAAGCTGCGAGGGGCGGCCCAAGCCACCTCAAGCAGAAGTTTTCACTTCTTTAAGTTCCTTTATGGGGCGACAAACCTTGAGACAGACAGGGGTACTGAATCTTAAAATACGCCACTGAATGCAAGGCAATGTAGAAGGGTAACAGAATTGTTCCTTCTATAACCTCTGTAGTGAAGAAGTGTTAGATTCCAAGAGTTAGACATTAGGGAACCTAAAATAGAGCCTTCGGAGTACTGACAAGGAAACTGTACCAGTTAGTGCATAACTCAAGACTGCTACATCGAGTACTATAAATCAAGAGGAGCGAGGTACAGAACAAAGCCCCAATGATACGGGGCCCACAGCTTACAGTGGCCCAGACGCGCTAAGAAAAAATTGCAATAAAAAAGGTTATTCACAATCTCAGAATCCGTACACTCTTAAGCCCAAAATACTTAGATCGTATGGACAAGTATTAATAGCACTCTTCCTATTTTTAACCCTCTAGATTACGACTACAACAGCTGAAATAAGCCCTTCTATAGTAAATTAAAAGCTATTAGGACTTCTACGAGACAACTATGACTCTCAGGCTTCGTATTGTCTTCAGAGGCAGAAAAATCTTGAAACACCAAACTTGTCTTCTGCTAAGGATGATTCAGCAAATAAAATGAGAAAAATAGTGACAAGTACTAGACTCGGTACTTCCCACGCATTCACATAAGCCTATTATCAAATTTTCCATAACCTGAAATAATCAGAAACGATGACAGCAAGTTTTCAAATTTTTTGATTGCTCGCGAGATGGCTGTCCAAAATATGTTTCATGGTCCATTTCTGGTTCTGGTTCATTTTTTGCTCATAATACCGTTACCATTTAAACGATTTTCAAAAATGCTGTACCGACTATGACCTCATAAAATGCTGCTCCCAAATTTCATCCAAATCGGTGCAGTCGTTGCCGAGATTACGAGAGTAAAATAACGCCAATACACAGTCGGGCCGACAGTTAGATTCTAAAATGTTTGCGGTCACAGTACTTTCCTCCAATTTGTGTGGAGAAATAAAAAGATAAGAAAAGCATATCCTCGAACGTCTGGCAATATCTGCTATCTGACATTTTTGCCCAATTTGAGGTATATGCAATTTTTTTTCGTCTACCTACAGCGCACATTGTGATAGAGTCCGCTAACTGCAGAAAAAATTTAGTTTTTGAATTATTCAGCCAAAACAATACCTACCGTTGGCAACACGTCTGTCAATGAGCGGCAATTCCAGCTCTGACAATGACGCGTGCTATTTTTCTTAACTTTGCAATGAAACACGACGTTTTGATTTCTCAGAAATATCTCACCAAAGGACACCCAAATGGAATGTGACTCTGTGCACAGTTGCATTTAAAGAAAACTGAGAAATAGAGTTATTGAATTACCAAATGACTATGTTAAGGCGTCAAAAGAAGCTAGGAGAAAACCAGAGCCATATGAGGTGATCGAATTGAGTTACGACTTCTTCAAGGACTACTCTCGAACAGAGGTGCAGCGATACTCAACAATTAGACCAGGCAGGGACAAAGTAGCCACGTACATCAAAGTACTATGTTATAATCCCCATGGAGAAATTGAAGTGCAACTAGACTTAAGTGTAGAGCCTCAGGAGTTGCCTATGAGACCAAAACAGCTACCCGTCATTTCAGATTATAAGTGTTATATCTAAGGACTGTCACATGTTTTACGACAATTTGCCATATGTCAAGGAAATAAACTGAACGTTCATTTAAGGTGTAACTGAGAATATATGCTATTATCTTTTTGATTTGTAAAAGCATTTAACTTTTAATTTAATATAATGAATAACAGTTTGTCTAACACGAATCTCACTAAATCCATCTATGCATCATAGTACAATATCTGCTAACTGCAAAGAAAGTTAGCAGAAATATCAGCTATCTGCACTGATTTTGTCAATTAGAGCTTCATTTAGATAAAAACGCATTAAATGTGTGTTAAACGTCATTTATTTTTTGTGACCAAAGTTGTAGAGTCTTAAGGCCGGTAGTATAAAATTGATAAGGTTTTTTTCGACACCTGTAAAATTACGGTTCCTGTATATAGCAGGTATTGTCAGATGCCCGACGATATATCTGTTATTTGTCCATTTTGAACCGTTAATACTACCTTTTTGCCACTTTTGTAAAAAATATTACTTCACTCCCCCGATAATATTTGATATGAGGCATCTCAGGAGCAAGCGACGCCACTGCTTAAGGGTTGTAGTGGAATTCGGTTGAACGGGTCCCACAGGAAAAACTTCTATAATCATCTATTATTCTTCGCACTGAATGTATCCATTTCGTATATATATGCATATAACGCGACTAAGCAAACACCAATTTACAATCCCGGTGGCGCTACATTAACGATCGCATTTTGTTGTCAAGTGCAGGTCAATTTATTTGATCTTAAAATTGAATGTTATCCACCCGTAATCTCATCAAAAGATCTAGACAATTCTCCACCATTTAAAATTTAATTCAGGAAGTACTGAAGCATACCAATGTCTGAATTTAAATCTCCGTCCTTACCGAGGTCCTTAAAAGGCATACGTGCTACTGAAAATGCACAAACAGTATACTTTTACCTTGACACAAAATACTAACTGGTTGAATTCAGTGACATCGTATAGCTCTCACCATGTTGCAAAAAATTATTATTTACAACATGTACAATAAAATACTGTAAACAGACTTCAATTCAAGTATGTTTTGTTGTAAAATGGAACATGTAACTAGGACATGCAGATTAAAGATATTTATGCAGATTATTGGATATTTTTTTCTTATCCGTGATGTTTCCAATTTTTTAACATTCTCCTGTAGTACTACTTTATCTGAGACTTGCAAAG